TTGGTCATTTGAAAACCCTAACTAAACAACTTCTAATATAAACATCACGGCTCTGCAAATGTGAGAATTTATTATAATTTTTTTTATTCAAAAAATAAATAATGGTCAAGGATATCCTACGTTGACCCTGCCGATATTGCATTGAATTTCAAACCTGCACTATATTTTCATAGATAAATATTGCCTTTACATTTCCATGACATCATTGTCATCATCATCATCATCACGATTTCATATTTTAACTTGATAACCTTAATCTACATAAATAAGTACATAAATTACAAATATAAATTATTATTACATTTTTATATGGAATTTATATTCAGATCTAGGCACCATGAACGTATCCTTCACATTACCATTGCAATTTAATTTAGAATTTTTGCCCACAATATTCTTCTTGGAAATATAATATTTAAAAAAATATCAGAACCTCTTAAGTCTTTAAAAAAATTAAAAAATTCGCAATTTATGTATGGCCGTGTGGCCTCTACAAATATTAAAAAAATTCTATAATTAATGGAAAGAATTTCGCCAAGAAAAATTATTCAAAATTCTTAACCCAAAATCCTTAAAAAATCTCAAATCTACTTTTAAAAATTTTAGCTCCTGGTCAAATTTCGACAAGTCTCTTAAGTCCAATAGTTATATATAACCTGAATATTCTCTACAATTTTTCCAAGAATCCAAATATTTTCTACCTGAGGAATAATTATAAAAACCATAATAATAGGCTCAAGCCTATCTAATTTGAAACAACAAAATAACTACGATATCCAAATTTGTATATATTTTCTGTTCCGCACAAAAGTACTTTACTGTACCTTTATTGTTTTCTAATTAATTTTGAAAAAAATGATTAATTATTTTTTAAAATATGTCTAAATAATTCTTCACCTACTTCATGTCATCACATGTAAATAACATACATTTTGGTTTCTAAGAAACAAAACTTCATTACTCCACCGAAAAATGCAGACATTGCCCTACAACCATTGTTTTTATTTCTTTTCGGCCACACTCAAAATTCAAAAAAAAAGATTTAAGAATAATACAAAGGCCATGGGAATCGTCATCAGATTACATGAAGACTTTTGTATGAATAGCGGGGGTTTTTCCGACACAATAAATAACAGAAATGTTGCCACATGGTATTGGGGTGGTGGAAAAAATAATAAAATTTTAATATATAAATTTATAATTGTTATTGTTATAGTTAAATTTTCAAAAAACAAGTTATAAAACATCAGTCGGTTTTGCCGACAGATATATGCCCTCAGTCAATGTTCGATTATTTAAATATATTTTGACTTCTGTTATGATTATTAAAATTGTGAAGTAGATTCCGAAGGAATGGGCCAATATCTAAAATATGGGATCTAAATAAATATGCGAAAATTTATGCGAAATCATAAATTCCATATTCATCTCAATTTTGATATCCATCTCAGGTTGAGAATAATATTTAGATATAGCAATTTGAAAAGAATCGCTAAATTGTTTTGCAAGTTATGATAGAAAAAAATTGTGACCCTTGTTGTGGGTGAGGTACCAGAATGGGTTCGCAGATATATATCATCTTCACAACAGATCTTGTGTTACCAAAAATGTTTGTATGTGTGAAATTTGAAGAGAGTTGCGCTTTCTTTGAGCTTTTGGTCTTTTTAAAATCTTGAACCCTATGTGTGGGAGGTACCAGAGGAAATGGTCCGATCTCTTCCATTTTTATACCACATCTTGTCCTGATAAAAATATTGAAATGTGCCAAGTCTGAGTGGAACCGGATGTTATTTTATGACGTTTTATGAGCTTCATTGATTTTAAAACTGTTGACCCTTTGTGGGGGAGGTACCAGAAGGAGTGGACCGATATATCGCATCTTCACAACATACCCTGAGTTAATAAAAATATTGTGATGTATGTAATTTCAAGAGAACCGGATGCTTATTTCGGATTTTATGATAGTTTTGGTTATTCAAAATTTTGACCCTTTGTTGGGGAGGTACCAGAAGGAATTGCCCGATCTCTACCATCTTTATAACAGATCTTGTGCTGTTAAAACTATTGAGATCTTCCAAGTCTGGGTGGAATCGGATGTTATTTTCTCGTTTCATGAGCTTCATGGATTTTAAAAATGTTGACCCCTTGTGGGGCAGTTACCAGAAGGAGTGGACCAATAAATCCCATCTTCACACCAGATCTTTGGTTAATAGAAATATTGTAATGTGTGTAATTTAAAGACAATCGGACTATTATGTACATCACATTTTATAAAAGTTATAATTATTCAAAAGTTTGACCCTTTGTGGGGGAGTTACTTGATGCAGTGAACAGATATTGTCCATTTTCGCACCTGACCTAGAACTGACGCAAATATTAGGATTTGCAAAGTTAGAGCAAAATCGGATTATACTTTCTCTTTCTTTGCAGTAAATTATTTTCTTTGAAAATATTGACATTTTGTGGGGGAGCTACCAGAAGGAGTGGACCGATATTGCCCATCTCCAAACTCGATCTAAGTTTGACAATAATATTTCGATGTACCAAGTTTGGATCAAATCGTATACTCCCTTCGAGAGTACCAGCCAGTTACAGACAAATTTCGTGATTCCAGGTCTATTACTTCACCCAATACCAAATTTAGTACCATTTAATACTCGAACAACTATAGTACACATTTCCAAAACCCCTTCCATATCTCAGATACCAACAGAGACCTCAATATCAAATTTGAAGATTTCAGGCCTATTCCTTCACCCAGCACCAAATTTAGTACCATTTAGTACTTTTCGTATAGATATGGGATGTATTTCCAAACCACGTCCAAATCTCAAACACAGATACCATCAGAAATCTAAATATGAAATTTCCGAATTTTATCTCTGTCCCTTAAACCAATACCAAAATTTGGTACTATTTTGTACTTTCCGTACAATTATAGTGCACTTTTCCGACACCAACTCCATATGCCCAGGCTAAACATGAACAACGACCGTAATAAATTTCAGATTTAAAACACTATCTATTCACACAAGTCCAAATCGTACCAAATAAAGTACCATTTAATTCTTTTCGTGCATGTTTAGTACATATTTCCAAAACCTCCTCCAAATGTCCAGTCTGCGCATGAGCAGTAACTATAATATCAAATTTCCGATTTTAAGCTCTATCTATCCATCAAAGTCCAAATTGTACCAAATATTGTACTCTGTACAACATTTCGTGCACTTTTAGTACACAAAAATAATTCCATATATCCAGGCTACATATGAACTGCGACCCCAATACCAAATTTAACAATTCAAGCAATATTTGTTCACCCAATACCAAATTGTACGAAATATGGTACTATTTAGTACTTGTAGTACACATTTCCGAAATCACCTCAAAAAAAATAGTAACAAACCTACCACCAACAGAGACCGCAACACAAAATTTCTAGCTTCATTCGTTCATCCTAAACCAAATTGTACCGAATTTAGTACCATTTTGTACTACTTAGTACACATTTCCAAAAACCACCTTCAAATGGCAAACTTATGATCCAACATTGATTCTGATACCAAATTTCAAGTATTTTAGCTCTATCCGTTCACATTTTAGAAGTTTAGTATCATTTTAGAACTTTTCGTAACATTTTAGGTCGAATTTCCAAAAACCCTTTGGTACATCTATATATTAATATTTTTTTTAAATTATATTTTTCATTTCCAACTCTTAAAAATGTCTCCTAATTATATATATTTTTTCTTAAACATTATTATGTCTATTTTTTATTATTCTGTTCTTAGATTTAATATTTTTTAATACTGTTCTTATTTTTTTTTAATTTATTTTATTTTAAAATTAATCATTCTTTTATATTAATATTTATTTTTTAATTATATAATTCATTAAAAATGCCCCCTAATTTTTTTTAACATTATTATATCTATTTTTTATTCTTCTCTTTGATTTTATATTTTTTTATAATTTTTATTATTTTATTATATTTATTATTTTTTATTTTATTTATATTTTAAAATTAATCATTCTTTTATATTAATATTTATTTTTTAATTATATAATTCATAAAAAATGTCCCCTAATTATTTTTTTTAATTTATTTTATTTTAAAATTAATAATTTTTTTATAATAATATTTATTTTTAAATTATATAATTCATAAAAAATGTCCCCTAATTTTTTTAACATATCTATTTTTTTTTTTTTCTTCTATTTGATTTTATATATTTTTTATTATTTTTATTATATTTATTATTATTTATTTTATTTATATTTTAAAATTAATCATTCTTTTATATTAATATTTATTTTTTAATTGTATAATTCAATAAAAATGCCGCCTAATTTTTTAACATTATTATATCTATTTTTTTATTCTTCTCTTTGATTTTATACTTTTTTTATTATTTTTATTATATTTATTATTTTTTTATTTTATTTATATTTTAAAATTAATCATTATTTTATATTAATATTTATTTTTTAATTATATAATTCATTAAAAATACCGCCTAATTTTTTTTAACATTGTTATATCTTTTTTTTATTGTTCTCTTTGATTTTATACTTTTTTTATTATTTTTATTATATTTATTATTTTTTATTTTATTTATATTTTAAAATTAATCATTCTTGTATATTAATATTTATTTTTTAATTATATAATTCATTAAAAATGCCCCCTAATTTTTTTGAACATTATTATGTCTATTTTTTTATTCTTCTCTTTGATTTTATACTTTTTTTATTATTTTTACTATATTTATTATTTTTTTATTCTTTTTTTTAATTTTCTCTACGGCATTCCACTTCAAATTTAAAACAAATTACTAAAATTCTATTATTATTTATTATTTTAAGTTTTATTGTTTAGGTCTAGTTCTTCCTTAAATAATACTTTCATGGACATTATTTCGTTTTTTTTATATATATTTTTATATTTTCTTATTACAAATTTTATTAATATTGTTATTTTATATTTTTTGTAAACTTACACTGCATGGAAATTATTAAAAATAACACTAATTTGTATAATTAAACTTATTCGTATGAATTTTATTAACGACATTTTGATGATATCCTTTTTATTATTGTTTATTAAAACGCCAACTTTTTTTTATTATTTATTAATAATAATTTATTAATATTAATAGTTTTATTATTTTCTTTAATTAAACTAAATCTTCAACTTTCTTTACAACAAAAGTTTTGCGTTTAAAATTCACTTGTTTGTTCTTCTTTCTTTCTTTCTTTTCGAGTGTGACTACATTCAACGACGCAAGAATGAGCGCGCTCGATTTTTTGTTTTGGTCCGATTTTGTTTCTTTTGAATAGAATTTCACACTCGCGAACAGACAGAATGTTGGCAAATATTCGAAGTACGCTTTTATATCCTCAGCGAGTTGTTGTGGGTAGCATGACGATCTACAGGCCAAGCAAACAATCGTCGCGTCGTCAACACTAACCAAACAAACTATATTGGTAAGACGACAACAAATACCAAGAAACGAAATGAAGAACAGCTGAGCGCCAACAACACCTTAGAACAGTTAAAATCCAACCAAGAGAGAGAGAGAGTTTTGTTTTGTTTTGATTTGTTTTGTATGGAAGTTAACGACTTAATCTCTGTGTCTCTCTCTCGTTGGGTAGAGTAAAAAACTGGCTTAATTTTTGTTTAATGTTCTTAAAATTGGAAAAAGGCAAACTAAAATAAGTGTTAAATATGTGTGATGCCAACAAACACACACATATACATGCAACAGAACAAAGCTTATACTGGAGAATGACTAAGATTAAGCGATTGGAATAATTTAGTTTATTTGCAATCACATTTTAAATTAGGTCGATTTTTGGTATCTCTCAGAGAGCGTTAGACCTTCTCTGGAATTTTTAGTTAATGGTATGAAAAGAGAAACACTTTAAAAGGTTTGTAGCTTCCTTTATTATTTTCTATGGTCCGTTACTATAAATTCTTTAAAGACCAGGACAGGGACTTTTGGGGCTAGGAGGTTACAGGAAGAAATTTAGATTAAATCTAGTAAATCTCTATAATTCTTAGAAAATCTTTAGAAAGTGCTAGAAGAAGAAGAGTGAAAAATCAAAGATAGATTTACAAAAAAAAACTGGACAGAGCACATGAAATATGATTACAGGGTGAGATAAAAAACTACTACAAAGTCAAACGGTATAATTTTTACATTTTTTTTCTAAATTTTATCGATTGAAAGCAAAAAATGTCGGAAATAGCATCAAATTTTAGAATAATTTTTGATTTGTTCGAATTGGTCGCCTTTGGCAGAATTATGGCCTTCAAATGGCCAATGACAAGTAAACACGATCATTTTTTTTTTACAAACTGCTGCACAACAAATGTTTTCATCGGAGACGGAGAAAACCAAATTCGGCAGTTCACCATTTTTGGGCAAGCAAAGCAACTCTTTAGCTCTTTAGAGTCTATTTTTCTTCTGTAGCGGTGTAAGTTCTGGCACTTTTTAGAATTTCAATAGCTTTACCCCGAGATCATTTTGCAATATTTGCCGAATGGAATATTGGGATATATGTTCAGCGGGCCGTTTTTCGGCCACTGTGACGCTGCTTTCCATCAATTCGCTTCTTTACTTTTCGAACCATTTCTGCTGATGTTGCTGATTTCTTCCGTCCACTTCCTTGACGTCCGCCTACGCTACCCGCTACGGTGTTTAATAACAGCAATACTCAGAATTTACATTACTTGGAATTTTTCGCTTCGCCTACGAATAGAAAAAACTGCGTACGACTATTTAGAACGGCTTTCTTGTGGGTATTTCCCCTCGGGACAACTTCAATTGTTTTTTTCAAAAAAACAAAAAATCATTAATAAATTTACAATGTAGTCACGTGTTTTTTCGTTGTTGGAAATAGGCAGACTACACAGATGAATTAAAAATAATAATAACCCTATGAAGTAATCATTTTTAATCACAGGTTGAAAAAAGTTTAAACTTTGTTGGGAAATGAGCGCCCACACGTTTTCTGAAGAAAATCAATTTATAATTGCTATAGTACTTTTGTTACAAAAATTATTATTTGCAAGTTGATTGACCGGATTTTCGTCTAGCCGACAGTAATAATTATTAGCAATTTGAAGCAAATGTTTGTAAATTTCTTTAAAAGCGTATGTATAGGTGTGTAGTTTGTAAAATTGATTAGGTGAACTCATTCACAAAGCAATCAAGCCGTTGGATTTGTTAACCGTAACGTCTTCGCTATTCACACGACAACTATTTAGCACTAGATGTCGCCCATAAAATATTTGTCAATTGACACTGGCGACGCAACTATAACGGGGTTCACATGCCATGAAGTTAATGAACGAGCATTTTGTATTTTCATTTAACAGAAAAATTGGTCACCAAAAATTCAATTCAAATTTATTCATTTGACAACATCTAATCTTTATTAAAATTTATTGTTCAGCCCATAATATTTAACCTTTAGGTTAGGTTAGGTTAAAGGATGTGTGGTTGTGTAAAAACAACAACCACTCCACTCGGAGACCTATTGGCCCATTGTGATCATCCTAGTCTAGAAAGAAGTGGAAGTGAGGTAAGAAAGATAGTTAGTGTAGAATATAGGATTTAGAAGAATTAGAGAAGCTAGTGGGTTTGCGTCCACGGTGTAATCAGCGTGTCGTCCTTAGCCATTTTAGTCTTCTGGCTAATTGAAGAATGACTGCTGGTTCTGTTTCGGAGAGGTATGACAGGTCAGGCAGTAAGTGCTTACCCAGAAGCCTATGTCTTACTCCGATAAGGGTAGGACAATGACAGAGTAAGTGTTCCACCGTTTCTGTTTCTTCCTCGTCCTGACATAGCCTGCAGTATTCAGTGTCGTCACCCCCCCATTTTGAAGTCATGGCCTTTATGTTGCAATGACCTGTAATTAGGCCCACCACAAGCTTCAAGTCCAACTTCGTCATGGACAAGAGTGACCGTGATCTCCGTTCGGAGTTCACCGGCCAAATCTTTTTGGAGATGATGCATCCCCTTCCAGATAGCCAGTTCTGTTGAAATCTTCCAAGATAGTGTTTATGCAGAACTTGAAAGAAGTGGCATAAAGGTGGCTTCACTGAGCTCTCGATCTCTAGATCTACTGACTCAGATCCGCGTCTGGCCAATTCATCGGCAGATTCATTGCCAGATATGTTGCAGTGCCCAGGGACCCAACAGAGCTTGACAACTGACTTAAACTTTTCCAGGGCATTCTTGCACTCCAGAACAGTCATAGACTTGATTGTGAAAGAATTTAGAGCTTTTAGGGCCGCTTGACTATCGACATATATAGTCACCGGTCCATCCCGTTCGTTAATTCTATTATTCAACAGTTCTATGGCCATTCTGACAGCAAAAATTTCTGCCTATTTAACCTTTGAAGACAAGTTATAAAGTATCTGTCGATATGCCCGACAGATGTATTAAATTACCCTCAGCCAATGTTTGAGATTAATTACATATATTTTGATTTCTATTATGATCATTCAAAATGTTGACCCTCTATGGACTAGGTTCCGAAAGAATGGGCCAATATTGTGCATTTCGTATCGGACCTTAATAAATATGTTATAAATACTGCGACATGCCAGGTTTGGATTATATTGGTTAATTCCATCTACTTTATATGGGATATGTGATAATATTTAGGAAATGTGCTTGAGGTACCAGATATAGTCGGCCGAAGTATTCCATTTTCGTATCTCATCTAATACAGATACAAATATTGGTGTGGGCAAAATTACAAGAAAATCGAACATTCACATCCAATTTTATGCGAAATCATGAATTCCGATAAAATTCATACTCATATCAGATTTCGGTTAAGAAAAATAGTTAGACATAGCAAGTTGTAAAGAACCGCCGTCTTGTTTCGCAAGTCATGATAGTCATAAGCATTGGAAATAGGGACCCTTTGTGGATGAGGTACCAGAAGGGGTTGGCAGATGTGTATCACCTTTATAACAAATGTTGCCTTAGCAAAAATATTTGGATATGTGAAATTTGAAGACAGTTGGATGCTTATTCCGTTTTGTTTGAGCGTTTTGATTTTTCAAAATCTTGAACCATATGTGGGGGAGGTACCACAAGAAATTGTGCGATCTCTACCTGGATCAATAGATTTCCCAATCCCCTTTTTATTTCTGGTTCACTTTTCGGAAATTTCCCCCATATGGGGTTTCCTTACTAGCAACTAGTTCCGTGGATACATTTAAATGAACCTTTCATTAGACTTTTTTGCGAATTCTTCCATTTCTATATACAATTATCGGCGTTATGCATTATTCTCATTCGTAAACAAAGTGCAAACAGTGTTAATTTTGTTTTCTGTTTATTTTTTATCCGGCATTATGTTTTGTTCATTTCATTTCAATTGTTTGGAACGTTTTTAATTTTGGTGTTCCTAAAATAACACGTGTGGCGCCATTTGATAGACTCCCTTGGCTGTTGCACACTTCAGGGAAATAAAAATGGAATTATTCGCTGTTAATCGGTAAATTAGTGACAAAAATAAATTAAAAATTATAAATTAACGTTTGTTTCTTCAGATACGATGTGGAGTTGGACAAAAAGCAAAGCAATGAAGATGAAATTCTTCAAAAGCTTTTGAAAAAAGTTGAGAAGCGAAAACGTAAACATTCGGAATCTGAGAAGAAGAAACCAAAACAGGTTGAAGTGGAAGATGATGTGGTGGAATCAAAGGAAACTATTAGTACTAATGACATAGATAATGCTCTGCCAGAGGAAGAGGATGTTATTAATGCGGGAACCTATGACAAAGAAGAATTAGAGGTCGATGACACACCTGCTGCCCCTGCCTTTGAGGTTTTGGGCGAAGATGTGAATGCCAAACGCCGTATTGAGGTACAAGCTGTTTTGCCTGCATGGCTGGCTCATCCACATATCATTTCCACAAGTGTGGCAGCCCCATCTGCGGACACAGCTGAGGATAGTCTGGCAGAATGCACTTTCCTATCGCCACAAATTCGAGGAGCCCTTAAAGAAATGAAAATTTCACGTTTGTTTCCTGTACAAACTGCGGTTGTACCATGGATTTTAGATGCCCATACAAAACCGGCACCGTTTAGGCCACGTGATGTGTGCGTTTCAGCTCCCACAGGCAGCGGTAAAACTTTGGCCTTTGCCATACCCGTTGTGCAAATACTAGCACAACGTACCGAACGGAAGATAAGAGCTTTGGTTATTCTACCCGTTGCCGAGTTGGCTTTGCAAGTCTATAGAGTATTTAAGAAACTATGCGAGAAGACCGATCTAAATGTTTGTTTGCTATCGAATCACACACCCCTACCGTTGGAGAAAGAAAAACTTGTGGAATCCTACAAAGGTCAATGGTATTCAAAGGTGGACATTGTGGTCACAACACCCGGACGTTTGGTGGAACATTTACACGGCACCGAAGGTTTTTGTTTGAAAAATCTAAAATTCTTGATTATTGATGAAGCTGATCGCATCATGGATGCTGTCTTTCAAAATTGGCTGTATCATTTGGATACCCATGTCCGGGCCACATCCGATCAATTGTTGTCCGGCCAATCGGCACCTTTGTGCTACAATGAATTGGAATTCGCATATGATCGGCAACCCCATAAATTGTTATTCTCCGCCACCTTGTCGCAAGATCCAGAGAAGCTACAAAATCTCCGACTCTTCCAGCCAATTTTGTTCACCTCAGTGCTGGATAATCTTAAAGAGCTTCAAGATAAGTATGTCGAAATGGCAACAAGCAAACCAGCATCAGGTGAATTTATTGGCAAGTATACCACACCGGCTGAGTTGACAGAGAAATTCTGTCTGACTCAAAACAATTTAAAGCCTTTGACTTTATTTGCCCTCATCAAGGAACTAAAATGGCAAAAGTTTTTGTGTTTCACCAACAGTGTGGAGGCTAGTGAGAGGTAAATATAGCATTTGTCGCGAAAGAAATGTTGTTAAAGTGTTTAATTGTTTTTTATTTTAGATTGAATTTCGTATTGCAGCAATTATTTTCAGATGAGAAGATAAGAATTGCTGAACTAAGTGGCAGTCGTGGAAGGAATAGATGTTCTGAATTGTTGTCTAAGTTCTCAAGAGGTCAGATAAATGGGTAGGTTCCCGCGGAAATGGGGTAATGGAATAATTTTATAAATAATATATTTATTTGTTTTCCTTAGTTTGGTGTGCTCCGATGCCTTGGCCAGAGGTATAGATATACCGGGAGTGGACATTGTTATATCCTATGATCCCCCACGACACATTAAAACCTATATTCATCGTGTTGGTCGTACTGCCCGTGCCGGTAGGCCAGGTACGGCAATTACATTGCTATCCCAGCATGAGCTGGATAAGTTCCATGTGAGTTTCAAATGAAATTATCCAATCAAACTTTTTTCAAACATTTGTTCTATTGAATGCCACAGAAACTCCTCAACGAAGTTGGTAAAGTTGTTACCGCCGAACAGGAGACATTCCCCGACATCGAAGAGGCCAATGCCAAGAAATACCAAGGTATTCTACAACGTCTACGCGAAAAACTAGTCCACGATAAACGTAAGAAGATCTTGGAAATGAATCGTGCCCGTGAAGTTAAGGAATTGGAATCACAAGATGTTACAAAACTTACACCAATGGAGAAACTGCAAATGCAGGCCACCATAAAAATCCACGATTCTACAAAAACCCATGAAAATGAAAAACTTTCAAACAAGAAATTGAAAAGTTTCAATCGCAAGTTCAAGAAGAATGCGGCAAAGGCGGATAATGCTGTAAAGAGTCAAGACACCAAAGCCAAGGGCAAAAAGGCAAATAAACGGAAGGGAAATAAGGGTGCCAGGGTGAAAACAAATAAATTCAAACAAAAGAAACCCCAGAATAAAAAATGAGGTGTTTAGGGAGGTTCGATTCTTGTTTTGTAAAATAAGTAATGTTTTTAGTTGCTACTACTATTACTACTTTGTATGAAAAGTAAATAGACGATGTAATGTAAAACTAATTTTGCTATGACATTTCATAAAAGTTCATTCAGAAGATATAACATCTAGAGTCCCCATCATCGGAGACCTAAACGTTTTTTTTTTTTAATAGAAAACAGCTCTTATAGGAAATAAGTCCAAGAGGACCAGACGTCCTCTCAACGAAAACCAAGTTGTGCTGTTCATATCGAAGACCAAAGAAACTTCTCATGAAAGGTCAAGAGATTTTATTTATAGATGCCTGGAACGTCTTCTTTTCCAAGATGATCACGAAGTCTTATCACCATAGAGGGTCACAATGTCCACCTTCACTAAAGACATTTTTTCGTAAACATTTTCAACAGGCATTTTTTCGTAGAAGTCCAAAAAGTCTCCCCTACGTAGATGTACAGAAGACCAGGGCTTTGTTCAAAAAGTCCTTTTTGCTATGACATTTCATAAAGAATCTATTTACGAGGAGGTAACAAACTCGCTCGAGCAACAGTAAATCAACAGGTCCTCTTTTCACATCGAAAATCAAGGGACATTCTTATCGAAGGTCAAGAGATTTTGTTTGCATAAAGGACCATGATGTTTTCCGAGATAACCGAAAAGTATTCCCATGAAGGGTCACAATGTCTTCCCTAAAAGACCATTTTGGTCTTTTTGTAGAAGACCCTGAATCATTTTTTCGTAGAAGACCTAAGCAGAAGACCATTTTTCTAATATGATCAAGGATTTCTATTTCCATGAATATCTTTATTTCATATAAAGCAAGAGATTAATCATCGAAGACCAAACGGCCTTCTTCACATCGATGGCCAAGGGAACCTTTCAACGAAGACCAACAGATTTTTTTTATAGAAGACAAATTCGTATTTTTTTTTATAGAAGACCAAAACGTCTTCTTGTTATAGAACAATAAGTTGCCTTCTTTTCCTAAATAACCAAGAGAATTGCGATGTATTCCATCAAAGGTGAACAAAAATACATTTTCACCAAAAACAAGAGATATTCTTGTAGATGACCAAGAGGCATTTTTGACCTAGGGGTCATGAGCCCATAGTCGACCAGACTAAAATTTCACATAAAATGGCCAGGATGGATGGCCAGAGCATTTCTTTTCATAATCAAAAAGGCATTAATTTCATACGCGGCCAAAGGTATCCTCACATAGAAGACCAAGTGAATTTTTCACTGCAGACCATGGCATAGTTGATTGCTATCGGACGTGTCCACAGGTTAGGGATAGTTGAAAGCCCAGTATATATACTCGGCAGCTGCAAATTTAGTAAGTAGTCAACGAATCTTGGGGGAGTCTCGGCTTATACACCCAAGTGCCAATGATTCTTAGATTAATGAGGTGACGTTTCGATGTCCCTCAAATAGCCACACCTGTGTGTTGATCCCCACATAAAGTGGATCCTCAACGTTTGCGAGTTATGCTATCAAGTGGACAAGTCAACTGTAATCTAACGAAACTTCCCCTAACGCGTGTTATGGGAACAAGTGGCCATAAGTTTAAAGGAACGTCGTTGTTACCTGGGCGCCTCAACGAATTCAGGTTTAGTCACCGAGTTCTTGCCAGGTCAGTCCCTTTACGACATCCAACCCTCATCCAACATCTCGTTCGGCCGATACTAGTGGGGATGTCTAGGCACCCTCAACAAAGTCAACAAAGCTATAAGTGCAAAGTGCAGATCGGACTATGGCAGTGATTCAGGATCGACTACTACCAGTCTGCAACCAGTAGTAGGACGAAGCGGATGGAAAGTCTTCAAGGCGACAATGCTCTGACACTCGACGTAATGAACGATAGTGTGGCCAGACAGCAGATAGCAATCCAGCAAATCAATGCGGATATATGGGACCGTTACGACTGATTCAGGACCTGTTGGTGAGGAACAGAACATGGATGCCAAGGTAATCCATGCCTCGATTTTTTATTCCCAAGATAGTCGACCTGAACAGTTCCAGCTCTCCCAATACAAATTCAACGATAAGAACCGTCAAGCCCACAATTTCAAGGCAGAAGGAAATCTAAATAGAAGAAAGACAGAGCGGGGTTTCCATTGATAAAATGGAAATTCCGCTGACCTCTCCCGGCACTAAGAGCGTCAAATCCAAGGAGATGAGGTATTAAGAGGCATATCGATGAAGCACTAACTAAATTGAGAGTTAGTGTATGAGCGAAAATGTGAACAGAGAATTCACCGCCAAACATAGCTTACGAAAAGAGATAAACATTTATGATGGAGATCTATCGAACCCCACAGATAAGGAACTGCAGCTTATCAGGACAAACCAGAAGTTCGTTAGGAACTTCGAAACAACGTATCTCTAACATTCCGGTATTTTTATACCAACCACCTGGGATAGGAGGGTATATTAAATTTGTCATTCAGTTTGTAATTCCTCTAAATATTCGTTATAGACCCCATAAAGTGTATATATTAACGATCAGCATAAAATTCTAAGTCGACTTAACGATGTCCGTCCGTCTGTCTGTTGAAATCACGATAAAGCTCACATATTTTGACACAGCTTTAAAATTTGGCATAGTTGATTGCATTGTGTGTGGGATGGTTGGTATTGAAAATGAGATATATCGGTTCACGTTTTCGGATAGCTTCCATATAGCGGTACCTCCCGATATTCTGTATTTTGCTAGTTTTAGCCACATATTTCCACCAATTTGTCTAAAAATTTGTATTTATAGTTCGTTATGGGTTTTAGCTTCAGTAGCGGAACATTGTACATATAGTTCTACGTTTTCGTATAGTCCCCATGTAACTCTACCTCCCGTTATTCGGAATTTTGAAGGTTTTTGACACATTTTCAACGGATTTGTCTAAAAATTGATATTTTTAGTTCCTTATGGGTTCAAGCTCCGATGACGGAACATTGTAGATATAGGTCCAAGTTTTCGTTTAAACCCCGTATAAGAGTACATCCTAATATTCGGTATTTTGATGATTTTTGCCAATTTTTTTAACGGATTTGTCGAAAAAGTGTTATAAGTAGTTCGTAATGGGTTCTATCTTTGATGGAGGAACATTGTAAATATAGGTTCATGTTTTCGTATAGTCCCCATATAACGGTACCTTCCGGTATCCGGTATTCGGTAGGTAAAACCAACATTTTTCCATGGATTTGTCTAAAAATTGCTATTTGTAGTTCGTAATGGGTTTTACCTCCGCTGGCAGAACATTGAACATCTTGGTCCACGTTGAATTTTGAGACTCACTCTTATAACATCTTTGAATTAGTTTGGGGATCTTCGGTATTATTGAAAAATTCATTGTGAGAGTTGTCAACATTCATCTTCGGATTGAATCTTAGATTTTCTGATGTCGCACGGTTTGTCTGGAGGCACATTTTCGGACATAATCCATTTATGCCCGGCTATTAACTCGGTATTAAAATTCAATTTAATGATTATAAAATTCTATTTATATTTTCCGATTTTTATATTTTCTATTTTTTAAGACACAGAAATGTATGTCTGGTTCCTTCGAATATTCGGTATTTTGACAATTTAAGCCACATTTTCTAATAGATTTGTGTGAAATTTGGAGTTTGTAGTTTAAAGATACTAAATATATGAATGTTTTCTTTACTTAATGGTAGAGGGTATTAGAAGTTCGGCACGGTCAAACTTAATATATTTTTGAGTTTTGCCTTGTTAAGGCGAAGATCATATGTTTTATGATTTAAGTGTTTGTTTTCTCTTTCGAGACGAGCTTAATGATCTGAAATTTGCAGTGAAAAGGAAAGCCAGATAGACACTATCACACACTCACCACTATGCGACGCGTTTCGCCGTTGGTTAAGCGGCTCATCAGGCATATTTGATGTGGATGATGGCTTTCAAGGGCCGTTCTCTGGAAAGTAGTATATATTTCGAACTTATTGCAAATTAGCATATGCGAATTATACACTAGAAACTCTCCAGGTTCGACTCAAGTTCTATTGGCAGATCTTTTTCACAGCAACGTTTTGTTTTTGTAGTGATGGATTTTTTGTCCACAACAACTACATTGCTTCCAATGCATACACTTGTTTTTTATTGTTTTGTTTCTTCCGAAATTTTCGATTGTGTCCAGCTAATAATAAGAATAATAAGAATTCATTTCAAAAGAATGCGACCCAAGGTATTTTCATTAAAACGCCAAGATATCTTCTCACATAAGAAATTAAACAAACCACAAGTAAAGTTCTTTAAAATTCAAAATTTTATTTTGTTTTCTTTCACAATTTCTATACTAAAAAAAATATGGAAAATAATATTAATATATATATATATTTTTTATAACAAAGAATGTTTTTAATTTTTTTATATATATAAGTTATGAGCTAAAGCATGGTTAGATTTCAATTAACTCGGCTGATATCGTCATGCTTTGTGATATACATGTTGTTTTGGGGTGGGCGGTTGTGGGGGGCATAGAAAACACACAAATTAAACGCAATATTTTTTTTATAAAAAAAGGGGTGAAGCATACAATTTCAAGAAATGGTTTTCTTTTTTTTCTTTATATATAACATAGTATATAAGTAAAAAATAAATGTTTAATTCTTTAATAATTAAAAAAAAAAACTGGTCAATGGATTGCATGTTTCATGTGGAATTGTCCATTTGACTACACTGTTTATGGGGGTTGAGGGGGAGAACAGGGGAATTTTTGTGAATCCTATTTTAGGTTAAGGGCCGGGGGGATATATTGTGCTAAGCACTGCAAAGTTTTAATTAAAATAACTTAAAACCAAATTCAATATTGACAGTGTAGCAGAGAAAAAAAAATAAAAATTAAAAAAAAAAAACAAAGGAAGGGAGTCATCTTTTATTACCGGGGGGTACTACGACAAGGAGTATTTTTTTCAATTAGCAGGGGAGAATTCGTTAATGATGATTGTTTTTAAAAAAATGTATCATCAATGATGTTTTTTGTTTTATTTCGAGAGGAATTTATAAAAATCTCTTGACACGCCTCAAGAGAATGGAAACAATTTGACACACAAGTAGTTAATAAAGTTATCACAGCCAGGTGCTGTACTTGGGCAGTACAACAAACTCAAGGTCATAAAATGTTGTGAGGAGGGGCGAGGAGGAGATTGTTTTGATACAATCAATATCAATAAAAGGCGGCAAATATCATCACTTGGATATATGTGGGAGACGAAACGGGGGAAAATATTAAATGTCTCCCGGGTGACATATGCCAGATATGCCAAAGGATTTGATGATATGCAAAAAAGTTATTTAATAATAAATAAATTAATTTTTGTTTGTTTGTATAATGTTGTGGTCAAAATTTGTTAGCTTTCTTTTTCAAATTAAATATCCTAACATCGCATTGCAAATTGTTTATAACAACAATAAATAGGTTTATATAAAATGTGATTTATGCGATTCAAACAAATGTTTACAGTCTTTTTTTGGTTCTCGCAAAGAGAAACATGGAGTGGGGGAGGCGGTGGTGGTGTTAATGGTTCCTTTACAAAAAAATACAGAACCCACCAAAAAACATAACTGACTATATTATATATGACTACGCACAGGAGCAGCAGCTTGCTACAAAAGACATACCAACTCCTCTCTTGGGGGTTGTTGTTTTTCAAAGACGATGGAAAAACAATCAACTTTTGTAGAAGGAAGAAGACTTGGAAGAAGACAACGACGACTACAAAAGAATTCATTTGATGATGACAGTTGTTTGTTGATTGCATGAGAAAAAGTTAATACTATAACATTTACAGGCTTCTACTTCTCCGAAAATTTCTGCGCGCTTATATACTTAAGAGATGGGTGATGATGATGATGTTGATAGATTGGCGGCGGCGTGATATTTCTTCATTCATCCAGGATTTGGAACACAGATCTTGCATTATCTTCCCGCTTCGGCCACTTACAGAGTTTGCAAAAAGTTTACAATTTCTGGATTTGAATTGGCAACGGCATTGAATTTATCTGGATAGCTTTCGCGGATCTCCTTGAGCAGTGCCACAGCATTGTCACAGGTGTCTTGATCGACAAATTCCTTCTTGTACAACACATGTATGGCAATGGCCAAAATTTGTTCCATTGAGGGAGCGATTTGATCGCGTGCCTGAATGTACAAAAGTTTGAAACATTTGAAAACGGTGGCATTCTCATCGAAATCTTCACGCAATGGCAAATGTTGCAAGAAAACGGGTAATACTTGATCCAATGGGACCAACTGGCAGTTGGTCAGAATGAGACGGGCAATGGCACCGCAAATGTTGTCCAAAGCAGCTGGTTCGGTTTCCTTGGAGACGGCTTGTGACAAAGCCATCAGGATGTGGGGATAAGCTCTGCAAAAAAAGTGAACAAAAACGTTATCGTCGGTTTTTTAATTAGCGGAATTTTGAACTTACTCAAATGATTTCTCCTCAGAGTGTAGAACCAATTCTCCCAAACCAAACACCGAATTTTGACGTGCCTGATTGAATTCATCGGACAGACCTTGAATCATAATAGGACACAATGTATCGAAGTAGGTGGCACTGTTCTGTTTCAAGGCATCGAAACATTCAGCCAAAGCACCATAGACAAAAGCTCTTTGGGATTCCAAATCTTCGTTCTTCTTGGCTTTTTGCTAAAGAGAGAAGAGAGAGAGAGGGAGAGAAATTAAATTAGTATTTCAGATTGGCATTTAAGTTATCCAAATTGAATCGACAATTTGAAGAAGCAGGGAAAAAAATAGCAGGGAAAAATAAATCGAAATTCAAATGTCAGAAAATTCATCTGCGTTATCCAAATGGAAAATTTATCCAGGTTATCCAAACATCACGAAAAAGTTATCCGCGTTATCCAAATGACTTAGGAAGTTTTTCCACGTTTTTCAAATGACTCGCAAAATGTTTCCGACTTATCTAAAAAAATTATCCGCGTTATCCAAATGACTGAACATTTATTCAGGTTATCCAAACATCACGAAAAGGTTATCCGCGTTATCCGTATGACTCAGGAAGTTTATCCGCATGTTTCAAATGACTCAGAAAATTTTATCCACATTATTCAAACGACACGAAAAAATGTTTCCCGTTATCCAAATGTCACGAAAAAATTATCCCCGTTATCCAAATGTCACAGAAAATTTATCCGCGTTACCCAAATGACTCTGAAAATGTATTTAGGTTATCCAAACATCACGAAAAAGTTATCCGCGTTATCCAAATGACTTAGGAAGTTTATCCGCGTTATCCAAATGTCACCGAACATTTATTCACGTTACCCAAATAACTCTGAAAATGTATCCAGGTTATCCAAACATCATGAAAAAGTTTTCCGCGTTATCCAAATGACTTCGGAAGTTTATCCGCGTTATCCAAATGTCACCGAAAATTTATCCGCGTTACCCAAATGACTCTAAAAATTTATCCAGGCTATCCAAACATCACGAAAATGTTATCCGCGTTATCCAAATGTGACGAAAAATTATACACATTATCCAAACATCACGAAAAAGTTATCCGCGTTATACGTAAGACTTAGAAAGTTTATCCGCGTTTTTCAAATGACTCAGAAAATTTATGCACATTATCCAAACTACTCGAAAAATGTATCCACATTATCCAATTGTCACGAAAAATTATCCGCGCCAATCAAATGTCACAAAAATTCATCCGCGTTATCCAAATGACTCTGAAAATGTATCCAACTTATCCAAATGTTACAGAAAATTTATCCGCGTTATCCAAATGTCACGAAAAATTATCCACATTATCCAAACGTCACAAAAAAGTTATCCGCGTTATCCATATGACTTAGGAAGTTTATCCGCGTTTTTCAAATGACTCAGAAAATTTATCCACATTATCCAAACTACTCGAAAAATGTATCCACGTTATCCAAATGTTACGAAAAATTATCCACATTATCCAAATGGCTCAGAAAATTTATCTGCGTTATCCAAATGACCCAGAAAATTGATCCAACTTATCCAAATGACACAGAAAATTATCCACAATATCCAAATGCTACCAAAAAATTTTCCACGTTATATAAATGACTCAAAAAATTATCCACATTATCCAAATATCCCAAAAAAGTTATCCGCGCTATCCAAATGACTCAGAAAATTTATCCAAGTTATCCAACTGACACAAAAAATTATCCAAATGTCAAGAAAAATTATCCGTATTATCCAAATATTTCAGAAAAATTGTCCGTGTTATCCAAATATCACGAAAAATTATCCGTGCTGTCCGAATATTACCAAAAAAAATTATCCACATTGTCCAAATATCAGGGACAGTTTATACGCCGTATCAAATTGTCACGAAAAAAATGTCCATTTCGTTCAAATATCACGAAAAATATTATCCACGTTATTCAAATGCCGCTAAAAATTATACGCGTTTCCCTAAATTCACTTGAAACTTTCCCCTTTCTGGATGAGAATCTAAAATGCATTTCCTACTCACCAATTTTGTCAAGAAGATGGGATAGATGCGGCCAAAGTACAAGGCGAATTTCTCGGGGGTCATGGCGTGACCAAACAAAGGCAACAAATTACCAGCTGCCTCAACAATAGCTTCCTCATATTCACTCTCCTCGGTTTCTTCATCATCAGCACCGGCATTGGGTTCATCAAACTGACAGGCGACCTTGCCCAACAAAACATCATTGATGCATGTGAAGATGGTATCACACATCTTATCGTCGGCCAAAGCCAATTGTTTCAATTCCTTCAACAAATCCGAGAAACTTTCCAAAGCGGCCAGCACAACAGAGACCTCTTCATCGTCACGTACAATTTGTCCCATTTTGGGGATGAGAATGGTAATGGCATTGGCCACACCCTGGACATCGTTTTGCTTGAACAGGGCAATAATGAATGTGGCCAAGGCATCAATGGATACCTTGCGAATATCCTCCTGGGGATGATCAATCATTTTGTAGACATTCTTGTACGATTCCTCCAAGTGGGGAATGAAAGCAGCACCGGTGTGTTGGGCAAATTCTTTCAGGGCCAAGATGGCTTCTTCCTTTTCATCCAAATAGGAGTTCTCAACACTGTAACCGGCAATGTTGTCCAAATCATCATCTTCACCATCGGAATTTTCAATGTCAATTTCACGATCATCGTTCTCATCGTTTTCAGGACCGGGCACCGTAATGACGTCTTCCTTGAATTCGGGAATAACTTCCTCGGTGGAGAGAATTGAGTCATAGAGACGTGACATGATTTTGGGATAAACTGGAGCCATTTCCTCGTTGACCACCTCGGCAAGGGCAGCAATTAGATTGTACAAGGCACGACGTACATCGGGATCATCGGCCTCCTCCAGAAGGGATAGTGAGAAGTTCATGGTATCGGTGGCCAATGGCATAAAGTTTTGCTTGCCAATGGTACGGGCCAATGAGGCCAGGGTGTCAATGGCCTGAGAACGCAAAGCCAAGATATCTTCGTTTTCGGTCTTGACCAAATAGGTTTGCAGCATGGCAATCAATTGTTGGAAATAAGGCAACATGTTTTCCTTGGCAGCATTGGCAGCGGCAGAAATGGCACTCAGGGACAGCTCACGTAGGCGCACCGAGTTGTTGGGGTTCATGGCTTCGAAAAGTCTAAAGAGAGAAAGTTAAGAAAATACAGACCCATTAGAAGGAATTCGATAGGGAGAGTTATGGGGAGCTGGGGGATGTTATTTAAACTCACCTTTCCATCAACAAAGGCAAATGTGGCACCAAGGCATTCTCCAGGTTTTCACAGAATGTCTCCAAGGCATAGAACATGCGGTCAATGTGCTTGGGTTCAGTACCACCACTCTAGACGAACATAGAGAATTTCAGTTTTAGATTTAAAAAATTTCAAAATGAATTTGTTTCACAAGTTAGGACAAATAGTAGTTACATAATTAGTTAGAAGCGTTTTACGCTTGATTTGCAATTGGCTCATATAGAGTATGGAATTTAAGTCTTGTTTTGGTGTTGTGGCTGCTGTGTTGGGCCAGTTGCCACCAGCAGCTTGATCACATGGATTTGCTTGAGGCCAAAAAGCCTAGAAGAATGATGGGAGGATGACCGACCGACCAACCAAAATGCGCAGCATTCACAAAACACAAAATAAAAAAATAAAAACAAACAACAACAACAAAAAGCATTGTTGTAATCAAAAAACGAAGACAAAAGAGGGAAGAAAAAAGAGCCAAAGGACAAATTTTGCATTAAAAACCAATTTGTTTTGTGGGAGTAGACAAAAAAAAAAAACAAGAGTTGAGGGAGGGCCAATTTCAAAACGAAAGGGGGTGTTGTTTGTGCGCCTCTAACTTGGAATTGTTGGTGCTCTTAAAAAATATCAGATACTAATTCTAGTCTATTAAGGCATAAAACTCAAACTTACTCTCAATTCATTGCACAATTGTTGCAAGAATTCAAAAAGAATGGGCAGAATTTGTGGTGCAAACTTGGTGATATCGGGTTGCAAATGTTCGGAGAACTGGCCCAAGGCAAAGAAGGCAGCATTGCGCACCAATGGCGTGGGATCGGTAATGCCAACTTTAACAATATTCAACATGGTTTCCAAATATTTATTGCAAATGGCTTCGGAGCAGCCCTCGGCAATGACAGCCATGCTCAGGTAGGCAGCACGACGAGGCAAGGGATCCTGGCCCTGCAAGGCAGGCTCCAACAATTGCAATAGTGGGGGAATCAATTTCTCTGGTGGGACATTCAATGCCAACAAGTCCATGGTTTGGGTGGCGGTGGTCATGGGATTGGAGCTATCCTCACCCAAAAAGTATTCTTCGTCATCTGTAAAAACAAAAAAGGGAGACTGTGAGAAAAGGACATCCAATGTAATTATAAATTTTACTTACCATCCTCACCCTCTGGCTCGGTGGCCATTAAATTGAAAACAACCTGGATAATGGGTTCAACCAATTTCTGCTTGATAATCAACTTCTTCTTGAGGCGCACTAACCAACCAATGTATGAGACAGTCTTGACACGCACAGCACTATCCAATTGATTGTTGTTGGATGCCTCCAAACAGAAATCAAGCAAGGGCTTAATATTCGTTGTCAACAATTTGGGTGTATAATCGGCCATGTTTTCCAAAATATCAAAGGCACGCACAAATTGATCGGGATCGGGTTGAACGGCAAAAGCTTGCAATGATTTAATGATCAATGGGATAGACTTCTGATAGGTTTGTTCGGCACCATTGTGACCCAAAATGAAGGGCACCAAATAGGTCATGCCAGTAAGAATATTGAAAATAACCGGTGATGACATATTGCCACTGGCCTCGGTGGCCATCAAGGCGGCAGTGAACATTTCACAAACCGATTCCATATGGGGTACAAATTGATCGGGAGCCACATCAGTGAGAGTGGCAAAGATCGATGAACCCAATTCACTTTGTTTGGGATCAGCTGAACTGCAATGGCCATAGACGAATTTCAACACCTCATTCATGTAGGCACCACCTTGCTTGTCGCTGCTTTCATGGCGTACCAAAACACCAACAAATTGAGCAATGGCATTGCGTACGGATTTCTCTTGTTCGTTGACCAAGGCGTTCAACATGCCTTGCTTGATGCTGCAAATAGGGAAAGAAATAATCGTTGAAAAAAGCCTGATTTTTTGGAACACAAAAGCGGAAGGAACTTACATTTGTTGTTGATCTGGTGGAACCATTTGCCAGTGACGCAATTTACCCAAACGTTTCTTCAAAAGCACAGCAGAGTACTGGCGTACCTGGGCTTCCTTGTTGGAAACAACAATGTCGCATAGTTGGGGTATGGTTTCAGGACGTTTGTAGGCTTCTTGCAAGTCAGCAGTAGCCTGGAAATAAAGAAAAATAATTATAAAAAGTCCCGAACTAAAAAGGTGATATTTTTGTTAATCAGTTTTGAAATTTGATTGGAAATTTTGATTGTGGTCACAATTCGATTAGTATTAATTTACAAAAATCTAATCGGGATTTCCATGCGAAAATTGCTTCGTTCTCAATCTCTATCTCCTACATATTTATTCTTCCTATGATAAATACAATGGTCTCCGAGTGAAGCAGCTGCCAACCCCAGTGTATCTTCGCACCTTTTAATCAAACAACCCAACAAATCATTAAATGTATATAAACTTTTAATATGGACTTCATCGATTTTGTATAGAAAGCCAGACCATCCAGAGGTCTAGTACCTCCCCCACAAAGGGTTACATTTTTGAATATTCATGAAGCTCATAAAACACGGAATTAACATCCGATTCCATTCAGACTTGGTACATCTCAATATTTCCATCTTCACAACATCTGTTATAAAGATGGTAAAGATCGGACAATTCCTTATGGTAACTCCTCCCCCACATGGGGTTCACAATTTTCACAAGAAAACTCTCGAAGAAGCAAAATTAGCATCCAGCCCTCTTTAAATTCCACACGTACAAAGATTTTTGCTAACACCAGATCTTTTATGAAGATGATATTTATCTGCAAACTCCCTCTTCTGGTACCTCATCCACAAGGAGTCACACTTTTGCACGAATTATGGCCTTCAAACGGCCAATGAAACCGTCACACGCTGCCCGAATGTTGCTCTGCGGTATTTTGGCTCATTCCCTGCGAAGCGCTTGCTTGAGTTGATCGACACTTGGGTATTTTTAGTGCCAACCTTGCTTTCCAAAATACTCCTGGCACAATAGTCCAACGATTTGATATCTGGAGATTTTGGTGGCCATTGTGCGCTGGAAATGAAGCGAGGAACCTCATTTTGTAACCATTCATATGTGGCGCGCTAATGTTTTCTCATCGGAGAAAACCAAATTAGGCAATTCCCCCCTTCGGCCAAGCGAAACAACTCTTTAGCTCTTTTGAGTCTATTTTCTTCCTGTTGTGATGTAAGTTCTTGCATATTTTGGAAATTTCAATGGCAATATCGCAATATTCCATTCGGCAAATATTGAAAAATGAGCTCGGCTTAAGCATTTTTCAATATTTGCCGAATGAAATATTTCAATATGTTGTTTTCTTCCTTCAACGTCCTTGACGTCGGGCTACGCTACCAGTATCACTCACGTCAACGAGAAATGGTACGAGACACAAAAGATTTATCCACATTTAAATGCTGGAGCGCTCAAACGATAACCACTTGGCAGGTTTTCCGGCCAAATATAAAGAAATCACATTATCAAGCTTGAATTCTATCACGAATAACCTGTTTTTTTGAAACTTCTCACCAAAATGCTTTTGTACGCTTGTAAACAATATAATGAGCTGACACTGGAATAATTTCAACAGCGTATCGGACGAGTGGCTTAGAGATGACAACAGCCTAAAGTTGGTTGCAGTTGTTTCCTCTCATCATCTCTAGTCCAAACCAAACACGTATTTATATCGTATTTATTTAGGTCCGATATGAAATGGACAATATTGGCCCATTCCTTTGAAACCTATGCCATAGGGGGTCAACAATTGAATAATCATAACCAAAATCAAGATGTATTTAAATAATCGGAAATTGGCTGAGAGTATACATCTATCGGCAAAACCGACCGATATTTTTTAATTAATTTTTTTTTCATTTGAAGAACTTCTCTATAGCTTTCAAAAAGCCGGCAGGTGTCTGCCATTCCAAGTTGATTTGAAAATCGACACCTTCTAATACCAGGGAAAATTCTGGCTACCTTAAAATTCTTTAAAATCATTTCCCAATGAAAAGTGATAACCATTTTTTATTATCATTCCGAAATAAAAAAAAAAACGTAAGACCATAAAATCCAAAAATCGCAAACATGTGCCACGGAAGCGAAACTCATTTAATGTTCCCGTGTCATGGATAACAAAATACATTGAGACGTCATGGCGAACGAAATATTGCAATCAATCGGCCAAACACCATATCATTCTTCGTTCGTTCGTTTATTTTTGCTTCTTTAGAAAGTAACAGCATGCATGCAGCATGCTGACGGGCAAGACAAGCAAATCCAAAGAAATAAATAAAGAGATAAGACATCCACATCCCGCGCTCTATATAAATTACCTGTGAAATATAACATATTAGCAATAAAGAAAACAGAACACAACATTTGGTCGTCTATACAGCTTGTCTGGGAGGCTATGGTGTTGTTGGCGGTAGCTTTGCCTAATTACCGCGTGGCAACATTTCATATTTCTTTTTTTGATTTTGCCAAAAAAAATTAAAGGTATTTTTTATAATTGCAAACAAAAATTCTAGACATTATAAAATATCTCGTACATGCAAACAAGGTTAAGGCGAACATCTAGAAAGGGAGATTTTGGGTTGGAATATAAGTTAACAAATGCCTCTGTTCCTGTTTCGATATCATAAGGTGAAAATCGGTCATTGTAGAAAATACAAATGGTGAGATAAAAGAACTGCAAGAAAGTCAAAAGTCATAATTTTTATATTTTTTTATATTTGAATGAATGAAATGAGCTGTCACTGGAATAATTTTAACAGTTGTTATTGTCGAAATTGCTTATTTTAATTTATGGAACAGAGGAATATTTAGTATTGCAATATTATATAGAGGTCCGACTGTAAAAACTATAAGTGAAATAAAATTTGCACACAATAAACTTGTTTATTTAATGCCAAAATCAAAAAGAAATTCTCTTATCACATGCAAAAGAACTAAATAGTTGGGTGGTGGTGGTGCGGTGCTGCTGCTGCTGCTACACTCTACATAAAAATGTGGAGGTCATATCAAGATATGCCCATTGAAAATACCTATAGTATATAGGTATTTTTTAAAGTAATGCTAGATGACGTTGATTCTAAATAAAAATCTATCCTCCCCCTCCACCACACACACACACACACACACACACACACTCAATGACGCTTAGTAACAACATCAGAGACTGCATTTGAAACAAAAAGCTTATAAAAAAAAAATGAAAAATTGATATTCAAAAAAACATGGCTATTAGAAAATTATTATTGTTTATCACAAATCTAAAAAAATAGTTAGAACGAAAAAAATGGCTAAGAGTTGAAAACCACGTTATTTTCCCCTATTCGGAAATATGGTAAATAGAGAAATGCGACAACAAAGTGCAATGTGGCTAATAGTAGGAAATGAATATTTATTTAAAATAGATACAGTCACACATATGTATGTCCATCGCAATTAACACATTCTAAAGAGTCTAGAAAATATGTTTATTAGTTTTTTTAACACAAAAAAAGGTTGAAAACAAATAAATCTCTGTTAGAAAATCTTGTGACATTCTGGAGGAAAAATATTTAAATTACAATTGAATAAGGGTGTCATAAATATTTCTAGATATGGTCTAACGGGAATACATAAACAATATTAAATAAATATCATAAGACCAATAGCATTTAATGTCAGCAAATAGGTGCAATGCCTGTAAAAGGTTAAAATTTTAAGAAATTTATGAAATAATATAAAATACTTCATATACCGACAAAAGTGGCTTTAGGAGAATGAAATATTCTAAACATTTTTATGAAATATTTTATAATTCTTCATTTATCCGACTAAAAGTTTAACAAATATATTTTATATTGAATTGGTTTGATAAAATATTAAGTTTTCTAAATAACTTAATATTTTATCAAATATCATTTATTAATAATGTACTTAAATATGCCTCGTCGACCTTGATATGTTTTGCATTGAAAATATGTAGGAGAAAATCGCAAACACGTGCAAGAAAGCTGAAAATGTTTAATTTTTCCTTGCCATAACAAGAATTGCATGAATACGTCATAACGAAACATTGCAATCAATCCATCACCTACGTGATTCAGCCCTTCCCTTGACGCCCTTCAATCTTTGAACATTATATTTTGCCGGTTATTCATTTTTTATTGATTCCATTCTTTAAAACTTAACCGCCAAGGTTAGTAGATAGTTTTTAATCATATTAATTTAATTATATAAATTAATTCATTATAAAATCCTCATTCACCAGCAAAAATAACTCAAAAAAGTAACAAAATCACGAATGCAAGTTAGCACATCCCTGCCAAACTAACAGGCAACAATGTTGCCTTTGTGAGCTTTGCTTGGTTGACTGTTGTGTGCTTAGCATGGAGTCGTGTTACGTCTGGTGGCGTGACCATGGGAAGTGTAGTGTCAGCGTATTGTCAGCAATTTTGATTTGTTTAGTTTAAGTAGAATAAGTTTTTGATTTGAATAAAGAAGTTAGTTCATTCTAACTCACCAAAAGGCACACAAGTCTTTTTATTAACTGGCGCCCAACCGGGTTTATTTAAAGGATTTACTTTGAAAAAAGTAATCTCTGACCCAACCCAAACACAAAAACAAGAACGAAAACTACCCAAGTCGTCCAACTCGCACAAAAGGAATAAGGTCTACACAAAAACCAGAACGAAAACTACCCAACGGAGGATCTATTTTGTATGAAGTCGTCCAACTAACGCAAAAGGGATAAGCTCTACACTCTAGAAAAGACGCCCTAAGAAGCTCTAAGGATCCACTAACATATTATAATATAAAACAAAGTCATGTAAGTGTATTACTCATTGAATTTAAAAAAATTTGTCGAAAAAATTGTGTGTCCAAAAACAGGTGAAAATATCAAGAGATTTTTTTTTTTTACTTCGTATAGTGCGTATTTAAAATATTTCAATTTCTGTGCAGTGATTAAGATTGTGTTATACCAACTTTTCTATAAAAAAAAGATATTATGAACGCGGACGAAATTTCAAAATTGATAGAATCCGCTGTACGTGCAGCGATTCAGACACATAAATCAGAAGTCGACAAAAAAGTCGACGATCTATCAAGAAAATTGTCGTCCATTTCCATAGGACAAACAGATGTAAAACCGTATGAAGAAGTAAAAATTTTTTCAACAATAACATGCGATGAGTCGCTAGACGTTATTAAATCTTTGCCCGAATTTGACGGGAAAATAGAAAATTATGTGTCGTGGAGACAAGCGGCACATAACGCGTATAAAGTTTTTGAAAGATATGATGGTAGCTCAAGGCACTACCAAGCGGTCTGTATCATTAGAAATAAAATTAGAGGACCGGCAGATGCAGTATTAGCATCATTCAATACGGTGTTAAATTTTAAAGCTATAATAAATAGGTTGGACTTTACGTACTCAGATAAACAACCAATTCACCTGATCGAACAGGAACTAAGTACCCTCAGACAAGGCGGACAGTCAGTGATACAATTTTATGATGAAGTGGAGAGAAAGCTCTCATTGTTAACAAATAAAACTATTATGAGCTATGACAGAAATTTAGCTTTAGCCATCAATAACAAATACCGACAAGACGCACTCAGAGTATTTGTTTCCGGATTAAGGAAACCTCTCTGTGATGTACTCTTCGCGGCCCGCGCCGCTGATCTTCCCTCAGCTCTAGCCTTAGCGCAAGAAGTGGAGGCGAATCATGAAAGATACGTTTTTGCTACATCATTTGCAAATAGGAATGATGAAAAAAAGAGTAGGTCTGAAACCTCAAAAAAACTTCCATTAAGAAAACCGTCTGATAATAGTTATAACAATAACCAACAAAATTATCATAAACACAAAAACCCACATTACGAAAAGGGTGCTGATGCTAATTTACAGCCTAGAGATCAAACCGAAGAAATGGACTTGGATCCAACGTCTTCCAAATTCAGATCACCGACTAATTATGGTAACGGTAGAAATTCTCACAGACAACCTTTTAAGCGTCAAGCAGGGTCTGACCGGAGTACGGGCCCAAAATTCCAAAAAGTTAATCAAATAATTCCGGAAGAGCAGGCGGTACAATATGGTGACATAGCTCACTCTGAATTTGAAGACATAAATGACGAATTAAAGGAAGATTGTGATTATGTTAATTTTTTAGAGGAAGGTCCCTACTACCGTTTGTAAGGCGGACAGTAGCGGGGAAACCAATACGCCTTTTAATTGACACAGGGGCTTCGAAAAATTATATAAAGCCTCTCCATGAACTGAAACATATAATTCCTGTAAGTACTCCTTTCTCGGTTCACTCCGTCAATGGACAAACACCTATTAAACAAAAATGTTTTGTAAATTTATTCGGCATGAACTCTACATTTTTCATTTTGCCAACTTTAACAACATTTGACGCTATTGTGGGCTTAGACCTATTAAAACAAATCAATGCAAACATCGACCTAAATAAAGGAGTCATCCTACATAATTCTGGCTCTGAACTTATTGAATTTTTTGAATGTAAAGATGTTAATTTTATAGAAATTGATAAGATTGATGTGCCTTTCGCAGTTAAGGCGGATTTTCAGAAAATGTTAAAAAAACGAATGAAGGTTTTTGCTGATCCTAAAGAAGCACTACCTTACAACACAAATATCGTTGCTACTATTAACATGGAGAACGAAGAACCAATTTACTCTAAACTATATCCATACCCAATGGGGGTATCTGAATTTGTAAACTCAGAAATAAAAAAGTTGTTAGCAGATGGTATAATTCGACCTTCGAGGTCACCTTTTAATAGCCCAGTATGGGTAGTCGACAAAAAGGGAGTCGACAATCTAGGTAACCGAAAGAAACGTCTTGTTATAGATTATCGGAAGCTTAATGCCAAAACAATTAATGATAAATATCCTGTTCCGAACGTAACAATGATATTATCAAATTTAGGTAAAGCAAAGTACTTTACCACTTTAGATCTGAAATCCGGGTTTCACCAAATTGTTCTCGCAGAAAGAGATAGGGAAAAAACAGCATTCTCTGTAAACAACGGGAAGTATGAATTTTGCCGTCTCCCATTCGGATTAAAGAACGCTCCGAGTATGTTTCAAAGAGCTATAGACGACATACTCAGAGAGGAAATTGGTAAAACGTGCTATGTTTACGTCGATGACGTTATTGTTTTTTCAGAAACCAAAGAGAATCATGTAAAACATATCGACTGTGTTCTTAGGAAACTGCTCGATGCAAACATGAGAGTCTCTATTGAAAAGTCAAATTTTTTTAAATCCGAAGTTGAATACCTTGGCTTTGTCGTATCAAAAGAAGGTATAAAAACGGCACCATCAAAGATAAGTGCCATACAAAATTTCCCAGAACCAACGACGTTGTTCGCTTTGAGATCATTTCTTGGGCTAGCGAACTATTACCGATGTTTTATAAGGGACTTTGCCAAAATTGCAAAACCTTTAACCGATAATTTAAAAGGAGAAAACGGAAAAATTCCTGCAACCAAATCCAAAAAGGTTATCATCAATCTTAATGCCTCCCAACTGGATGCATTTTACAAATTAAAAAATATTCTATGTTCAGAAGACGTCTTGTTGATGTACCCTGACTATAAAAAAGCATTCGACCTTACTACTGATGCATCAGGGCGTGGTCTAGGTGCTGTTCTATCCCAAGAGGGAAGACCAATCACTATGATTTCTAGAGCGTTATCGGATAAGGAGTTGAATCTCGCCACAAACGAAAGGGAACTTCTAGGAATAGTCTGGGCTCTAAAAACTCTAAGGCATTACCTTTATGGTGTGAAGACTCTTAACATCTTCACTGACCACCAACCGTTAACATATTCAGTTTCGGACCGTAATCCTAATGCACAAATTAAGCGCTGGAAAGCTTTTATAGATGAACATAATGCAAACTTATATTATAAACCAGGAAAAGAAAATCAAGTTGCAGATGCGCTATCAAGGCAAGTCGTCTATGCATTAGAGAACGAAAATTCGTCAGACATGGCAACAGTTCATAGTGAGGAGTCATACACCTACACTATGGAAAGCTCAGACAAACCGGTCAATTGTTTCCGCAACCAAATCATTCTGGAAGAGGCAGAATTTCCCGTCACTCGAAATTTTATACTTTTCGGAAACAAAACGAGACATATCATAGAATTCGGGGATAAAAACGAAATACTGGCTAAACTTGTTGATGCAGTCAATACTGAAGTAGTAAATGCCATTCATTGCGACCTACCTGTGTTGGCTCACATTCAACATGATTTGATTAAAATGTTTCCTTCAACAAAGTTCAGATTTTGTAGTAAATTTGTCGCTGACATCTTCAATCAATGCGATCAGAGAGAAATTGTTGTAAGTGAACACAATAGAGCTCATCGGGCAGCTCAAGAGAATGTTAAACAAATCCTTTCGGAATACTATTTCCCCAAAATGGTAAAAATAGCGAATGAGGTTGTTGCAAACTGCAAAACCTGTTCAAAAGCTAAATACAATCGACACCCAGAGAAACATGTTATAGGAGAGACAATAGTTCCTTCATATGCCGGTGAAATTCTACATATTGACATTTATTCAACTGATAAAAAACATTTCTTAACTTGCGTGGATAAATTCTCAAAATTCGCAGTGGTACAGCCAATAGCCACCAGAACAATTCTGGACATAAGAGAACCGATTCTCCAATTAATGAATATTTTTCCTAACACCAAAATTGTCTATTGTGACAATGAGAGGTCTTTCAACTCCGAGACTATCAGATCAATTCTGAAAAACAGTTTTAATGTCGAAATTGTCAATTCACCTCCTCTACACAGCACATCAAACGGGCAGGTAGAGAGATTTCACAGCACTCTTGCCGAAATCGCAAGATGCCTAAAAATAGAAAGGAAGATCGATGACACTGTCGAACTCATCTTACAATCGACCATAGAATATAACCGGACAATTCATTCTGTCACGAATGAGAGACCTATTGATACGATACATTCTACACCTTCTGAAGTAAGAGAAAAGATTAAAGAGCGAATCTGTAACGCGCAAAACAGGCAGTTACAATACTTCAACAAAAGTCGTTATGACAAAGTTTATAACGTGGGAGACAAAGTCTTTGTTAAGAATAATCGTAGACTTGGAAATAAAATGACCCCACTTTATGAAGAAGCTACTGTTGAAGCAGACATGGGGACAACTGTCCTAATAAAGGGGAGGGTGGTCCATAAGGACAACCTAAGATAATCCTTTCAATAAGATGTCTAAATGTTTCTTCTCCTACCTTTTATTTTTTCTTTACGCAGGCTAACACTACAATTGTTTCTTATGATAAACCTCACATTTGCAAAGATTATTGATTATTCGCATTCCGATTATATCCCAATTTTGGACGGGAACGCGATTATATGGAACAAATATGGGTACTTAAGACATACGACAAACCTTACAACGTATTCCGAGATATTAGACGATACAAAAAACGCAATACAGATCTTCCCTCAGACGCATGTTAAAAAGATATTGGAGGCCGATGTATTGCATATTGATACTCTTTTAACAACACTCACCGTACATCATCGGCATGCGAGAAGCATCAATCTTATAGGCACAGCACTGAAGGTTATTGCCGGTACACCAGATGCCGATGACTGGGAGGATGTCAAATTTGTCGAGAAACAACTCGTAGATTCCAACAACAGACAAATAGAAATAAATACGAAAATACAGATCCAAATAGAAAAGTTGACCAATGCAGTAAACACAATCTTAAATACCGAACGAAAGGAACAAATTGATACTTGTTGTATACGTTACGTATTCAGTAACTACTAAACTACTATCGATGTAAGCATATGCAATAAACACCATCACTCAGTTGTTATGAGTTACCTGAAGGCAACAGTTGTTTTACTAACAGACCGGGATATATAACAATTATGGCGACGAGTGAACCAAAACCGCGTGGCAATTTTCAAATGGAGCCATTTGATGAAAAGGCTACAACCTGGAATCGTTGGGTGAAAAGATTTGAGACGGCGTTGGCGATTTTTGGTACGAGCGAGGCGATGAAGGCTAAATATCTATTACATTTCATGGGTACAGAGGCTTATAATAAGCTATGTGACAAGGCTTTACCCTTGATACCAGAGGAATTGCAGTATGATAATATTTGTGAATTGCTGGAGAAGCATTATAACCCTAAACCCAATGAAATATTTTTGAACTTTAAATTCCACTCACGTAAGCAAGAACCTACAGAATCCGCCGCAGAATATTTAGTGGCTTTGAGACATCTAGCAACGGGCTGTGGATTTGGTGAATACCTGGACAAAGCACTGAGGAACCAGTTTGTGTACGGCATAGGGAACAGAAAGATTCAAGGCCGGTTATTGGAAAAGGACGATTTAACATTAGATGATGCAATACATTTGGCAAACATGTTTGAACAAGCTGAAAAGGGGTTCCAGGAAATGAATAAGCAGCAAGAAGCCGTTGACATGGTGAATATGAGAAAGACAAAAGAGAGGGAGAAAAGAGTCAGAGAGACAGAACAAAGAGCGAGATCGAAACTGAATACAAACTGTGACAGATGTGGCAGCAGTAAGCATAATTCAAACGATTGCCGTCACATAAATTCTGTATGCAATTTTTGCAGAAAGAGAGGCCACTTAAGGCGTGTGTGTTTTAAAGCAAGATCTACAATGAAACAAATATCTGACGGCGAAGTCAGTGGAAAGGAGGACTCAGAGCAAGAAGTGTGTAAGATGGAAAGTAATGGACAGAGCCCCAGCATACGGGATAAAATTCTATGTACATTGGAAGTAAATGATCGTAATATCACATTTGAAGTTGACACGGGAGCGCCGGTCACCATCATAAGTCTTGCCGATGCGTACAAATATTTTTCGAAGAAAATACGAATTCATGAACCAGATTTGGAACTCTATAGTTATTGCAAGACGCCTATAGATTGCGCGGGATACATATGGGTGAAAGTAAGAGCCAAAGACATAACAAAAGTCAAAATGTATTTAGTACGGGCCAATCGGAAACCATTGCTGGGAAGAGAGTGGCTGCGGTTAGTTAAATTGGACTGGCTGAAGATGTTAAAAGGAAAGAGTGTGTCATCGGTAAGCGTAAACAAAATTCAGGAGTCGGCGAATTTGGAAGGTCAGTTAAGGAGTATCTTGGAGAAATATCCAAATTTATTTTCGAAGTCAGTGGGCAAAATTAGGGGGTTTCAGGCGCGTTTGAATATTAAAACCGATGCTGTTCCGAAATGTATGAAGGCGCGACGAGTACCTTTTCCACTGTTGCAGAGAGTGGAAGATGAATTAGATGACCAAGTAAAAGCTGGATTATTGGAAAAAGTGGAACGTAGCGAGTGGGCTACACCAATCGTGGTGGTCAGAAAGAAAGATGACAAGATACGAATTTGTGGAGACTACAAGATAACGATCAATCCGGTCTTAGTGGTGGACAAGCACCCATTGCCTACAGTCGACGAATTGTTTAGTACAATGGCAGGCGGTGAAAAATATTCGAAGATTGACTTGTCCAAGGCATATCTGCAGTTAGAAGTACATCCAGATGACCAAAAGTTCTTAACCCTGAGCACACACAAAGGATTATTTCAACCAACAAGATTAATGTTTGGCGTTGCTAGCGCCCCGTCTCAGTGGCAAAGATTAATGGAGCAGTTATTAGCGGATATACCGGGTGTTAAGGTGTTCCTGGATGACATTAAAATAACAGCCAAGGATGAGAGGACACACTTAGACCGGTTAGAAGAGGTGTTAAAAAGATTAGACCGATACAATATGCGAATAAATCTTGCTAAGTCGGAATTTCTGCGAGAGAGTATTGAGTATTGTGGTTATGTGATTGATCGACAAGGAATTCGTAAGATACCAGCCAAGATTAAGGCTATTCAAGAAATGAGATATCCGGCAACCAAGGACGAAGTTCGATCATTTTTGGGACTAGTGAATTATTATGGTCGTTTTATAAAAAATTTGAGCTCTATAGTTTACCCTCTAAATCGATTACTGCACAAAGAAGTTCCATTTAATTTTGATGCTAAATGTAAATGGGCTTTCGAAGAAGTAAAGAGACAAGTGGGATCAGAGGTGGTGCTGACACATTATGATCCAAGAAAAAAATTAACATTGGCAGTGGATGCGAGCCCTACGGGTGTGGGAGCCGTATTGAGTCACGAATTTGGCGATGGAACGGAAAGACCTATACAGTTTGCATCGCAAACTTTAAATGCAACACAGAGACGGTATAGCCAAGTAGACAAGGAGGCATACGCAGTAATATTCGGGGTAAAAAAGTTTTTCCAATATGTATATGGAAGGGAATTTACTTTAATTACCGACAATAAAGCAATATCACAGATTTTTGCGCCTGACAATGGATTACCGGTATTGTCTGCAACGCGTATGCAACATTACGCAGTATTCCTGGAATCTTTTGATTACAAGATTCGTTTGCGTAAATCTAAGGAGAATGGGAATGCAGATGCGCTATCGAGGCTTCCTGTAAATGAATGCAGCAAAACAATCAGCGAGATTGATCAAATTGAAATGGAATTAATTGAGAATTTGCCAATCACCGTCAAGGAATTAGGACAAGCCACAAAAAAAGATGCGGAAGTAAGACGTTTAGTAGACAGTTTGTCATATGGCCGGAAGTGTGATCCTGCCGACAGTTTTGGAATCGACCCATCCGAATTTAGCTTGCAACAAGGATGCTTATTAAGAGGCATAAGAGTGTATGTGCCAAAACCGCTGAGAACTAGAATAATACAAGAATTACATTCGGGACATTTTGGTGTATCAAAAATGAAGTCACTTGCCAGAGCGTATTGTTGGTGGAAAAATTTAGATAAGGACATTGAAAAAGCGGTTGCTGACTGTTATGAATGCCAGATCGGGCGACCAGATGTAAAGAAAGAACCGGTTCATTGCTGGTTACCTCCGAAGAAAGTTTTCGAAAGGGTGCATGTGGATTACGCTGGTCCCTTTTTGGGCAAATATTTTTTTGTACTGGTGGATGCTTTTAGTAAATGGCCGGAGGTAAGGATAGTTCGAGACATTACCACGGAGACAACAATCGAAGTATGTAGAAGTATATTTGCGCAATTTGGAATACCAAACATTCTAGTCAGCGACCACGGGACGCAGTTCAAAAGCGCGAAATTTCAAGAGTTTTTAAAACAAAATGGTATCATGCATAAGTTGGGGGCACCGTACCACCCTGCAACGAATGGTCAAGCAGAACGTTTTATACAAACTTTCAAGACCAAGTTGAAGGCAATGCCTCGTAAGGAGGAGTTACAGCGAAAAATTGATCAAATTTTATTGGCATATCGACGAGCAATTCACCCGGTCACGAATAAATCACCAGCTATGACAATGTTTGGGCGACAAATACAAAGCAGATTGGACCTCCTACTGCCCAACAATGAAGTCCGAGACCCCGAAAGACAAAAAACTACAAGAGAGTTAGCAGTAGGAGACGCTGTAATGGCTCGGGATTATATGGATAAGCTTAAGTGGAAGCCTGGAATAGTAAGAGAGAGAATTGGTGATTTGCATTACAAAGTGAGGCTGGAAGATGGTAGGTGTTGGAACAGACACATTGATCAATTGAGAAAGATTAATGGCAGAGTAAAGCTGGATAACGAAGTTGAGGAAACACATAGTGCTAGTTATGAGTCATCAGATTTGACTTTGGAGAAGAGAGAGAACCCTACAAGTATGAGTAATGCGGAACGAGAAGCAACAGACGAATGCGTGATGTCAGACAATCGAGATCAGTCCTTCGCAACGCCCCCAAGTTCTCCGGGGTCAGCATTCATCGGATTTGAAGAGCCAGCAGGGAATGGCGAGGCAGTCAACATAAGAACGAATCCTAGGAGGAATATACGGCGACCTCATCGACTAAATGATTATGTTATCGATACGGATTGAAAGGTATTAGTGTTCGGAGTTTTTAGCTAATAGTATTTTATTGAATTCATTTTATTATTTTTGTTATAAGAGAGGGGAGAGGTGTTGTATACGTTACGTATTCAGTAACTACTAAACTACTATCGATGTAAGCATATGCAATAAACACCATCACTCAGTTGTTATGAGTTACCTGAAGGCAACAGTTGTTTTACTAACAGACCGGGATATATAACAATACTGTTAAACTTTTTGAAATTTTAATGGCTAGAAACAGAATGCTGCTTATGGAATTACAAAATATAATTTTATCTGTAACTTTGGCTAAAATCAATATTATAAATCCCACAGTTTTGGACCAGGATGATTTAAAATTTTTTATAAAAAATCAGATCAATGAGCAATACACAGATTTTTCCATATCAGAACTAATGTATTTGTCTAAAGTAAAAGTAATATCAAATGAATTTTGTTTGCATTTTATCATTAGATATCCCATTCCAATACGAACATGTCAGAAAATTTCTTTATTCCCAGTTCCCCACTTCAATAAAATTATTCAATTCGCTGACACCAACACTGTGGTAGACTGTGAAGGAAAGACTTATTCAGCAACAGATTGCAAGCACGCAATATCTTCAACCTATTGTCAACTGATGCCAGAGTCAACCTGCGCTCAACAACTCATATCGGGTAAATCAGCACACTGTAATACGCAAAGCAATAATCTTGAAAAAGTGGCAGAAATCGATGATGGAATTGTCATTGTGAATGACGCTATTGCAGAAGTGAAAGAAGCAACCGAAAATGTAAGAAACATAAACGGCACATTCCTAATAACTTTTGAAAAAAATGTGACTGTCAATGGTACGCTGTTCGTAAATAGAAACAACATTGATATGCGGAAACCAGGAACACCATCATTTCCCTCAATTATTATAAACAACCACAGCGAAATTTTAAGTTTATCATCTGTCCATGAGATGAACTTGCAAAACTTACAATATATTGGCGAACTTGAAAGAGATGCAAAAGTGCGGCCAATATTAGTTGGTTGTGTTGTTTTTATGAGTATCGGATTACTCTATTCCATATTGTGCCTCGTTAAGCGTAGGGCGAAGAAGAGAGAACAGCGAGATTTCCAATCTGCCGTAGCAATGGCTATAAAGAAGACCGAGGACGGCCTTCACTTAAGTGAGGGGGTAGTTAGCACATCCCTGCCAAACTAACAGGCAACAATGTTGCCTTTGTGAGCTTTGCTTGGTTGACTGTTGTGTGCTTAGCATGGAGTCGTGTTACGTCTGGTGGCGTGACCATGGGAAGTGTAGTGTCAGCGTATTGTCAGCAATTTTGATTTGTTTAGTTTAAGTAGAATAAGTTTTTGATTTGAATAAAGAAGTTAGTTCATTCTAACTCACCAAAAGGCACACAAGTCTTTTTATTAACTTGCACAAAACCCTAAAAAAATACGTTCCACTATAGAATTAATACAAAAAGAAGTCAGAAAAAGAAATGCCAATGGCTGATCAAGAAAAACATAACATTACAATAGGGTAACATTAATGAACATTAAATAACGAATTATTACGATCACCCACAGGATTTCGTCCCTTGATATTTCGACCTTTGTATAGTATCTTGTGCCGAATATTTTGCCAAAATGCCATAACTATAATAAACGGCAATTAAATCATGACTGCACACTCTGCATCAAACCATAAATAAATACGTTCCACTATAGAATTAATATGCACAAAAGGAGATGCAAAAAAAACAGTAAGGAAAAGTAACTATGTATTTTTGATAGAGCTTTCGTAAGAAAATAATTTATTTGAAGTAGATCATACCAACTATCAGCATTTGGCTCTAGAGCAGTTATAGTTTGGTTTCAGAGGGAACTAATATATGGTAGGCATGTCCCATTCTGAACCGATTTTCACTAAATTTTTATACCAAATAACATTGCTACAGAGTGCATGATATTACTTCGAGAAGGATTATACGAAAAAAAAATATATTTCGAAGCAGAGTTCCACAAAATCGAAATGTACGGCCAGAAATTCACTCAATTTGGGCTGATATTAGCCATTATTTGCGCAATAACCCTGAAATCGGATTAAGGATATTTATGGGAGCTATATCCAAATCTTAGCCGATGCCGATAAAAATTTGGCAAAGGTATTTCCTAGCTTAATAAGATATTTGGCACCAAATATCATTGTTGTGGGGTCATATTACGAATGGGAGCTATAGTTATATCTGAACCAATTTTCGCCCATTTTATTACTTGCGGATGTGCCATAATTCAGGTCATTTTGCCTGGTATTGGTCATTTGGTGCACAATTAAACCGAAATCGGTTGAAGATATTTATGGGAGCTATATCCAAATCTTGGCCGATTTTGATAAAATTTGGCAAAGGTATTTCCAAGTTATGGCGTATTATATATATCTGAACAGATTTTCAACAATTGTATTTTACTTGCTTGAAGACTGAATTCGGTCGAATGTGCCAAAATGCAGGTCATTTGGACTGATATTGGCCATTTGGTGCACAATTGATGCGAAATTGGTTGAAGATATATGGGAGCTAAATCTGATCCGATTATCACCAATTTCTGTAGGGGCAAACAACAAATATTGTTTGAAAAATTTCATCCCAATCGAATAATATATGCGACCTGCATTTTGTACTGGCATGCAAATCGACTCAGAAAGTGATTCTATGAAGATCCTCAAAAGTAACTATTGGTCTATCTGGCTTCCTTCTCCATGTTACAAACAAATGCACAAAGACATAATACCCTTACTACTATGTGGTGTAGGGTATAAATATTCGAGGAATAGAAAACAAAAACAAATTTCACCAAAAGAAGATCTTCGATATGTCCAAATTATTGATATTATTCAACTTTGGACCCAATCATATTTGAAAGAATACTTAAATTTTGCAGAAATATGTGCACGCACATGCCTGCGAACATAAATTGATCATTTTATCCAAAAATATTTTAATGTCATGATCTACGCACAGATATAAAATGTGCCAAAAATAGCAACAACATTACACATAAATTAACATTTTTTTAATTCATATCCAAATTTATACATATGCTGGGGCTAGGTCTTATTAGGAATTTCAATTAAACACAAAACGCCAGAACACAGACATAGCACTCATAAGTACCATAGCATGCGCCAGCCGGCAAACTAGCAAAAAAGAAAAGTGGCAAATGTTTTCTACATTAGTCACTCAATCATGGAAGAAGCACATGTTTCCAAGATTTTTTTAGTGATGAGTTGTGTGTGCGAACATCTTCCAAAGAAATTAATTTAATGATGTCTTATAGAAAATTATACATAAATTGTTGCCAAATGGCGGTCGGTTGCCGACTGACCAGCCAGCCTGCCACACCCCTCCTCTTTAACCCTGCAACACATAAATTGTTATGATTAATTATTAAGTGAAAAAAAGTATCATTCTCAAATCTAGTATTATAGTCAGTAATTAGAGTAAGATAATTATGTCTTACAAATGTACACACACAGATGATGTATGTATTTACATTTAACCCACAGGCAGTAGAATTTGTAAACATTTCATGCCACCATCATAGTCATCAAAGCACAAATAAAATTCCCCCTTTTCTTGCGGAAATACCCATAAATCAAACAATAAATTCCTCTACTTAGGCCGAATTCCATGAGAGACGGTAACCCACTTTATCTTTTCTTATAAAACTCGCGCCGAACACATTTTACCCAACTCACACACACTAACACAATCTACCGCCTGTCATACAAATACAACACGCATACTGCAAATTTTTAGGCAAACAGCAGCAGCAACGGCAACAGCAAGAAAATCGAATAACATGGAAACTGCAATAAAAGACACACAAAAGGTACAGCAAGAAGAAGAACTTGCAAAAAAGAAAACGCCATCAATTTTTCAGTCCCCACGTGTTTTCAAAAGAACATTTTTCCAATTTCACAGGAATGCAATGGATTTTTGCACAAATCTTAAATAACAATTGAGAGATTCTTTCGCACACTTACCTGTTTAATCAAATTATTATCGGCACACAATAAATTTGCAATAATTTGCTCCATTTTTTCGATTTTTCTTTTGCGGCTGTTAACTTAACCAAAAAATGTTAAACTTTCCAGAAGTTTTTTAATTAATAACTTTTTTAAAGTCGTTTGACAATTACTTGAAGTATTTGCAAATACTTTTGATTAGATGCGAACAGCTAATATCCTTTTTGTTCTTGTGTCCTTTGTTCCCAACTCTCTCCGGCTAAATGCTATTCCACCTTTCCCGCCGTCTGTTATTTTCTCTTCACGATTGAAAAACGACTGATTCTATTTGAAATTGGTTGGAACGCAAGTCGACTTGCCATGGTGAAAAAGAGCACCAAAGGGGAGCCAGAAAATACGAATGAGAGGCCACAACGGAGCAAGAGAGATAGTAATTAATCGATTACTGGGGAAATGTCGAATAATCGATTGTACCAAACAAAATATAACGGTAGCATGCAAAAATAGGCAGAGTATTGCAAATAAGTGGCGTCAGTTTGGTATTAAGGAAAAAAAAATATTTTTTGAAAGTATTAAGGGTCTTGTATTACATAAAGGAATGCAAATGAAATAAATAAATTGCTGAAAATATTTTTTTTATAATAATGACAGGGATATGCCGTTAGGTGACTATAACGAGCACGCTTGTTCATGAAATGTTGCGTAACCAAATAGCAATTTGGCTGTCCTTTGCCCTCCATGGTCTTGCGAATTCCATATTCGAGATCTTGTATCGACGATGGAATGTTGAGGTAGGCCTTGTATTTGATGTGGATCCAAAGTAGTTGCAAGGTGTAATATCACAAGATCTCAATGGCCAATAACACGATCTAAAAACTTTTCCCGCACAAGAGCAATGAATTTTTTACCTCATCACTCAAGATGATTTTTCGATGCAATTTCGAGAAAAATTCTCTGCTAAACTGTGCTAATATTCAAAAAATTCAAACCCTTTTCTCAAGAAATAGATGTCTAGCCAACCACCAAACACTATAAGAAACTATTCCCCTTACCCGGCGGATAGAAACGATAAAAGTTCTTGTAATGTCCAACTTCTACTATTATTAGTTAAAAGGTACATCAACTCCCGTCAAGTAGCTTTGAAGCCCATCTTTTCCTAACCAGTTGACGGCTTGGCCTCTCCTATGGACCATTTAAAAGGCACATATTTTCTCGAATAATAGTTTTTTGGCTCATCTTCTTTTGAAGGACAATACAAGGGGTCAATTTCTATTGAAAATCAGTTGAAGGTTCCATTTGATTCATGTAGAGCAATTAAAGACTCATCTCATCCTGAAGAGCTGTTATTTATCGAAAATATTTATAGATATCAAACTACAGAAAGACAGAAGATTGACGACCACTGTTTTTGATAAAAGGAACAATCCTGTCGGATTTCGAACCGAATTTCCCAAGAAAATTTGGTGAGTCCTGGACTCCATCCCACTGGATATTCAGAATCTGATGGCAAAAAATCTACAAATTGGATATAGACAACATTTTCTGTGGCGTTGTTGAAGGGATTTGAAGGACTCATGTTCTTAAGTCCCAGTAAATAGTTAAATTTTAAAGTGGATCATCTTTTTTGTACCACAGTTCAAGCACTGATGCTGCAGAACAATCAAATGCCTCAACTTCTCCTGTGAACAAACAGGATATCCTTTTGACGGAAGAGACTGAAACTTGTCAGGTCTGGATCTCCAAAGAAAAATTTAGAGAATCCGACCCCCACTCCGCTGGAGATTCAGAATCTGTTTCCATAAAAACTGAATGATAAAGGACCACTCATATCAACTGCATACAGGGATTTTTATACAACTGAAAATCTTGGAATTGTTAATGGTCGGCTACAGTCTTAAAAGGGCCGTTCTCCAAAAATACATACATCTAAAAACCAATTGCAAGGTTTCCAGGGCTAACGAAGAGTTAGTTCCCTTCTGTCCCAAAATAAGTTGCGTCAGATCTTTGTCTTAACAATTGAAAACTTTGATTTCGTAAGCACGAGAAGACAGAGGCCGCCGATCTCCTTTAAATTTGATAAGTTATGGATAGGTTCCCTGTCGATTAGGATTACGTTTTTCAAATTACCGACCAACCATCACCTCTCCCTGTTTATAGCCAGTGGATTCCTTGACTCTATACTGCCTCTATCTTACTTCTCTTGCAGGGTCCATATTTTAACCAGCTTCACAAATGAAATAGAAAAAAAGTTTCAAACCCTTTTTGATGGTCGAACAATTTTATTGTTTGAAATTTGAAATCATTAATATATTCAAAGACTATAGGAATTTATTTCACTCATTTCTTCATATTTCCCTATTTCTTTGGATTGCAATTTTTAAATTCTTACGACTATATTGAAATTTGTAAAGTTAAAAGTGTGTTTCTATTCAATTTTCCACATCGTTGTCCTTTTCTTCGCCATTTGCTGCCAGCTCTAATGGTTCGTATAAACCTGGTGGTAAATCGCAACCTAAATAAGCATCATTTTCAACACAATACCTAATGTATGAACGCCAACATGGATCCAAAACCAGCAGATGGGGATTACCAAAAATGTAGAGTAAATAACGAGCACGAGATATGGCGACATTCATACGTTTGGCACACTGGACAAAACCCAATGAATGACGTATATCGTTTGGTAAGTGTTTCTTGGTGGAGCGTACCGTTGAAATGAGAATGATGTCACGTTCCTGTAAGAAAAACCAAAAAAATCAGATCAAATATTTTCGAGTTGTTGGATTGGAAGCTCAGACCAAAGGCTCAGGTCTTGTGTATGCAATTTTGTAGTTCAAATCATACCTGTCCCTGAAATTCCTCAACAGAACCAATTTTAGGCATGGCAATATCGGCAGTGGTAAAAAGATTTCTCAAATGTTTCACTTGCTTCATATAGGGTGTAATAATGCCAATACTTTCTGGCTTGATATTCTTGCGATAAAGCTGCAGGGTCATTAGGAAAACCTAAAAGGAATAAGAAAAGAATTAAAAATAGTAACGCAACAAAATATAAGATGTAACTTACATTCTTTGCTTCATGAGGATTGTACCACGAAGGCGAATCCTTTTCTTGCATATTTTCACTTAGCATGCCATAAAAGAAGGCACCATGAGTGGCGGGTCGGGTATGAGAATCTGGCAATAGATCACTTATACTCTTTATCATATTGGCTTCCCTTGAATCGTCCTTTATCATGGGCAATAATTCGGAATCATAAAACAACTCATTGTAAACATTTAATATGGAGGGTAGGGCACGATAGTTGTACAGCAATTTTGTTACCAAACGTGGATCAAAACCACAAGAATCTGGATAACGTATAATGTCTCGCAAATATGGTGATCGTGTGAGTATTCGCTCCAGGAATGATGTTGTAAAACCTCTTTCGCCAGCGTAACGGTTTATAACAATTGCCTGCAATTGATGTGGATCGCCAGCGAGTATGACCTGGCCGCGGGTTTTGGAGACTTGGGTAATGGCAACCATGACCTCAGATTCTGTACACTGGCCCGACTCATCGATGAGCACATGGGTAAAGTGACCAGGAGGGAAATCCATTTGAAGGAAATTCCCCAAAGTAGAGCAAGTGCCAATGGTAACCCTATGTCTACCCAAATATTTCATTTGACATTTGAGTTTGAGGCCCGATTCGGTGACAATCATTGAATCATTACAGGTGCCATCGGCCGCAACATCGATGGTGGCACAATACGGCTGCAGATGGCTGGGTATTAACTCCCTTTCAATTTGATTCTGTGACACCAGTCGTATAAAATCTCCAGCTTGAAGATCACCACTTTCAATTAGCCGGGTGGTAATTAAATCTGCCGAACTGTTAGAGGGAGTACCCACCAATAGACGTGAGCTGGGCAATAATTTCACCAACTGCAAAATAGTTTCCACCAATGTCATGGTTTTTCCCGTTCCAGGTGGTCCAAAGATGACATATGGCATATTTTGGGCCTCTCCACGTAGAATTTTCGACACAGCCACCTTTTGTATGGGATTCAAAATGGGATTATACCAACGATAGGTATTGCCATTCAATTGCAAATTATAATCCTCATCCAATTGCACATCCAGCTGAGGCTGTTCCCTGAGATAAACACGTGATGGAAACAAAAACTGTTCACCCAAATGCCGAACAACTTTTTGTATGGCGAAATGTTGTTTGCGAAAACCAAACCGCGAGAAAAAGAATTCCAAACGATAATCTTCGCCATTGTATTTCTCTTGGAAGCCGGCATTGAATTTCAATAGGACACGATTAAACAGCACCTTGTGTATGACACCATCATAATTGCGTTTATCACCATCTCGATCACTCCAAGGATTAATGGCCCGCACCACATCACCAATAACCAATGAGGGTCTTCTCTCCGCCAGATTGTCAATTTGCAGCGATAGATATTCTCCTTCACGTGTAAAGTGAGCCCGCTCACGATCATAGTTACGGAAGTTAACGAAGTACTCAATTTCTTCCAAATAGATAAGGGTCTGGAAACGTGTAACATAATTGGACATGCACAGTTCTTGTTTTATACTTGGAAACATTTGTTCAATATTGTCAAGCATATCTTGTTTTTTGTCGGAAGTTAAATAGGCTTTGCATAGACGTTCCGGTACCTCAAAATAGCCAATGCGTTGGGCAATAAAACGGCGTTTGGTGGCAATGCCAACACCGGGGATCACCTCGCTGCGTTTAGACCAGACCTGGAAGATATTTTTTAATTATTTTAATGTTAAGTTTTTATTTGCAACCTCACCTGATTGGCATAATAACGTGAACGATGTGCCGCATTACGTCCCCCTGCACCGGGTATATTTGAACTACTCTCATTTTCCTTCTGCATATCAATGGCCTGTTGCACCGCCTCGGCCTCAGCTTCGGTTTCACAAACAATCACAGTTACCGATCGCTTTATGCGGAACTTTTCGAATTTAATTACAAAATATTCTTGATTTTCTCCATAAATTTTGGATTCTACTTCGAAATGTATGCTGAGTTTTTCATTTGGACCCAAATGAAATGTTGTACCAGGTTCTGGATCCAAGACACGTATTTGTGTATCTCGCTTACGTCCCAAAAACTCAACTGTAGCTTGAAAAGAACGATCACAATTATTTGTGCAAACAAATTCAATTTCTTTCTTTTGAAATGTTGATGTGAACACACAACTGACATCGGGGGATACTGTAACGGCACGATGTTCCGTTTTTTGTTCAATGACACGTTGTGTGGACTCATAGACTTGGGGGACGTAGGCCTGTTCGACGACAGCTAGTTTGATACAGCGCCAAATGAATTCACCCTGAAAGAGGAATTAATGTTATTAATAGGTGGTACAAAGGAGGGAACTATAGAAGGCCATCTAAAAATCCCTGTGGAAGTCTACTGCATTTATAAGACCTTAAGAAAGACTACTATATAAAGAATTTCCAAAAAATCCCTTATCTACAGATTTTCTATTCAAAGAAGGCGTTTTCTTCTTCTGTAGATGGGAGACCTTCAAGAAGCCGTAAGTTTTTTTTAAATCCTAAAGGTCGACTGTAAAGGTCTACTTTCTATCAGAAGACCTTTAGAAAGGTTTTCTATGCAAAAAAGTTATTTTCTTTTTCTGTAGATAAATGTCTTTGAAGAAAACCTGTGAAGGTGGAAGATCTTCAGAAAGACCTCAATATAAAGGATGTCCAATGGTACTATTCACAGGTTTTCTATTCGAAAAAGGCATTTTTTTCTTCCGTGGATAAAAATGTCTTATATGAGTGAAATACCTATTCGCTCAGAAATAAAATATCCCTTGAATGCACCTACCCTTTCACACTCAATAAGGTCAGCACACACGGTATCGCCCACATTAAGTTTACAGGCTGCGGGTAATATATCATTCGTATAATAGGCATCATCGTTCAGCACCCCCCAATCGGGTAGGACACGTTTTACAGTGCATTTTTCCTGTTTCATTAAACGTGCTGGATGTACACTAACTTCCTGCAGAATTTCGCCAGCTTTATCTATAAAATGTTCATCACTTTGTACATTACAACAAACATAGACACGATCACCCTCCTTCGGAACAAAATCAATTTCAATGGAATCCAAGTGAATGCTCATAACCTTGTAATCGGTATCAACAAGAATCGAGTCGGGTTTACGTTCCGTAATCAAACCCAAAATGTTGCGTTGATGAGTATTAAAGTATTTCGGTTGTTCAGATTTTAACTCTTCTATTTGTTCTTCAATCTAAAATAAAGATTAAAAATGGTAATTTATACTAAACAATATGGGGAGAGAAGTGGAATATCTACCTTTTGTTCTGTCGGCTGCTTATCATCCCAATATTGGTCCATAATTTGTTCGATTTTAACCACTTTGATATGATCTGTGGCCGAATGTTTGTAGGCTAAGTACTCGACACGACAGCCTACTTTTAACTCGGAAGAGATTGATAAGGCCACATTCATGTCGAAAAAGATCCCGTGGTCAATGGTGCCATGGTTGCTTTTCAAGCTACTTATTATACCTGAAATTATTAACAAAATTGAATTTGTCATTTTTAATTCAAAAATTCTACCAAATAGACACCTGGACCATTTCTGGTGAGCTCTATACCAGGAATTTTGTAGAGCTCAAAGGGTTTTAGAATTGGTCCATTTGTGAGTGAATGGAAAATTTAGACCTATTACGTTTCAATTGCAATTTTTACCCACCTGTCCTCTTAAAGCACCCACTATTGCTATTGCCATTCACCTCACGTGGTTCATTGTCGTTGATGGTAACATTTTGTATGACATTTTGCATGCAAGATGTTGGCTGGGCCTTGGTGTTTATATTCTCATCGTCTAGTTCTTCATCCAAATAACGCTGTTCCTCCTCCAATTTTGAGACCAATTCATTTTTACGCTCCTCCCGCGAAAGCAACAAATTTTTTAATAGGGTAATCATAATGCTTCTTTTTGTTGCAGTTTTTGCTAATGCTTAACGGATGAATTGTTTATGATTTTTGTATGTATTGGTGATGCTGTGGGGTCTTAAGGGATTTTCTTATCGACCGGCTCATACATCCAATCGGTTTCGTTAATGTAATTCAATTCCCTACGTAGATTTTGCAAACGTTTCAAAGTTGCCTCATTTGTGGCAATCTTCAGGCCGCACTCCACCACAATCAAAGAACGATAGCGGGAAAAGGTTTTGTCGTTTTTTAAATCACCAGACTTTTGGGACTGCAATATGTTTAAGGAAAATTCTACAAACATAATATTTAATGCAATAAACCATGGCAGCTTACCTCGTTATTTGTTGATGAGCTGGGTATATCGTCCGAAATGCTGCTAGGATCTGCCGAAGACATCCTTTGTAGCACCTACTCACGTTATATTTGAATATTTGTATTGTAGAATGTTATCGAACTACCGCTCCAATTTCCCAATAACACTGCCTTACGTTTTTCACACAAATTACTTAGATATCTGCAAGGATAAGCAGTATTCCAATCCAATTTGGAGAAAATACAAAATAAAGCGGCATCACACAAATGCCGAGTAAAGCGCCAATAAGAAAAAAGGGGAGGAAGAAACAAAGCTGAAAAATGCGATAAAGTGAAAAATCAAAGCAAAAAAAGAAACAATGCTCAAGGGTTCTAGAAGGTTGAAATATTCAGTTAAAAGGGTTCTAGAAATGCGATTTTCTCCCAAAAAACTGCTGTTTGTTCACTACAGGAATGTGCATCGAATATCGTTAATATTAATTAAAAAACAAAACAATTTGCAAACATATAAATAAAATTATGTTTTTTTATTTAATACAAGAATTGCAAATGTCCCAAATGATCCTGTTCATATAAATTTATACTATGTGAACTTGACACACCTTTGATTGTTCCTTTTTAAACAGCCATGCATTGGAAACAGCTTCGTTTGTAGTAGGAGCTTAAGGTGAGAATACATAAAAGGCTTTTTTGACTGGCTTCAGTCATCGTCATCTGGAGCGGTCAAATCAGACGATCTTGCTGGCTAGTGCAAATCACCAAAAAGGGATATTAGGCGCTCGGGAAATGCATCTGTCCGGTTGAAACCACATGTTTTCCAATCCCAACTCATCAATTTGCGGCAAAAAAAAGTCGTAGATCATTCCTTTGTAGCGCTCACCATTCACAGTAACCGTAACAGTTCGATGACTCCTCCAGCAAAAACAGCACACCATACAGTGACTTTGAGGGGATATAATGGCTCTTCGTGCGTTAAATGCGGAATTTCAATGTCACAGAAGCGTAAATTTTGCTTATTTACGTACCCGCTAAGATGGAAATGGGCCTCATCACTCATGATTATTTTTGATGCAAAATCATCTTTTTCCTGGTGGTGGTCAAGGATGGTTTGAGCGTATGTTAGACGCTATTGACGGTCAGTAGATAACAGCTGATGCACTATCTGGACTTTGTACGGAAACATCTTCAAATCTCGTACCGAAATTCGCTCAAAAGACCGTCGACTGATACTATTTGCGTGGCACGTCGTCTGGTCGATGGCGCTTTCATGACATCCTCGGCTACATCAGCAGAACGAGTATCCGTTTTGTAGAGAATAGAGCTGCTGTAGCCGTGGATGTCATGGAAACGCTGTCGACATCGACCAGACGACGTGCCACGGAAATGGGTATCACCTGCCACACCTGGCCGCATCTTTTATTGTGACAGTATCTTCGAAGGCGAGCGCTCAAACGTTACGGTATTTCCGTTTGGGCGGTCAGGAAATCCGACCCTTTTATTGGTCAAATATTCCGATATTCCGCGTTCTGGAGCAGTTTCACGTAACATAGTTTATTAACGTGTATTTCGCATTGTCAAAACAGAACTGACAATATGGGTCAATCGTAACATTTATAGCATTTTCTGATAGAAGGATTACTTTTGCGCCAACTTGTATATGCTGTTCCACAACCTGCAATAATCTACTATTTTAACAATTTTTTCGATATCATAAAGGGAAAATTGGTTATCGCAATGGTACAGAAAGGAGGTGGAACAGCTTCGTTAAATTACAAAAATGCATCCCTGAGACTGTGCCAGCTTCCTGAATTGTACAAAATTATATGAAAAAGCTGATTTCATTTATTTAATATTTTTCCTTATTTTTAAAATGAGTTAAATAGTGCGAACTTGGACTTTTTTATCAAAATTTTGATCAAAACGGATCAATCTTTGAATTCAATGGTTAAATTGGTAAATATTTTAAACACACCCCAGCAATGTATTTTTCTTTCAGAAATTGATTTTGATTGGCAGCATTCGGACACAATTTCCACACACAATATTTGATCACAAAACATGAGTACCCTTATTATTTTCCTTTGCATTATCCATCAAATTGGCGCGCCACCTATCATTGCCTTGTAACAACTACAAACATGTGTTCGCATGCCAACAAAAACAAAACAATACCGTCTATATGTCAAATTGGAATTGACATTTGACATAACCAAAAAGGAAGGCATGCAAAAAAGAGGGTTAATGCAAAAAGAGAAAAACTCGAAAACAGACGTCTGAGTGATTGAAAGAAAAGTGTTTTTTTGTTCAAATAAAATTTCGCCAAGGAAGAAAACAGGGAAGCCACCGAACACCTGAATCCGTCCACTAAAGAGGAAGGATTGTTTTGTGATTATTTTGACGTAAATACTTTTCGATACTTGGTCGGTTTCGAGTTGAGTGATCTGCAGGGAATTGTGTATTTATTGAATTCTGTGGATTCACGAATAAACGTGTTGAAGTTACTCGAAGAAAAATGGTTAAAAATAAAAAGGGCAAGAAAGAGATAGTTTCGGCCGGCGCTGGTGGCAGTTCATCTGGTGATGAAGTGTAAGTAGAAAGGGAAAGATCCTCGAAAGAGTTGGAAATTGGGTGACGAGAAGAAAATGTGTTGAAGATGTCACGTTAGTGGGTGCAGAGTGTGTGGTGTGGGGGAAAGCGAAGTGCTACGTTGTCAAACATATTTTTTCGATTCTGGCCAACATATCAACCAACCAACCAGCCAGCCAGCCAACTAGCCATGTATACATTGAATTTGTTTTTGTTGTTGTTTGGTTGGTTTGTTGGCGGCGGTGTTGTTGCATTGTTTTTGGCCAGAGAGTAAAATGCAATGTGGTATTTGCATCACCCAGCAAACATTTTCATTATTGACCGGTCTTATTTTTGTTTCTCTTTTCAAGTGAACAAACCCAAGTCCAAGCCATGGCTACAGACTCCGATGCGGAAGTAGAAAAGGTTAATGCCAAAAACAAAAAGAACAAACCTCCAAAGAAGCAAAACTCCAAGAAAAAACAACAAGATTCCGATGATGAGGCTGGTAATAGTGGCGATGAGGTTGAGACCATTTCCAAAGGTGTCAAGAAATTGCAGGTAAAGAATAAACCGGCAGCCAACAGTGACGAGGATGCTGACGATGCAGAGGAGGAACAAAGTGGCAAAAAGAATAAGAAGAACAAGAAAAAGTCGGCTGCACCCAAGAAATCGGCCTTTGAATTGTTGATGGATGATGATGACGACGATGAACCTCCACCAGCACCGCCCAGTGAACCCGAGGAGCCGGAAGAGGAGGAGGAAGCTCCCAGGGTAGCCAAAAATGCTGGTAAAAAATCCAAGAAAGCCAAACGTAAAGGCAAGGGGGGAGATGACGATGATGAAGATCTGGATAAATTGTTGGCTGATATTCAGGCTGAATATGCCGGCAATGCCGCTCCCAAGGATGTTACTGCAAATGTTGTATCACCCGAAGATTTGATTGAAGAAGAATTTGGTGGTAAGGGTAAAAAGAAGAATAAAAAACAACAGAAACAGGTCGAGGTTGAGGCCGCCGATGAGCCTGAGGCAGATGCCGGTGGAGATGAAGAGGCAGAGGAGGGTGGTACTGTAAAGACTGCAGCCCAAAAGAAAAAGGAAAAGAAAGAAAGGCAAAAACGGGAAGCGGCCTTAGCTAAGCAAAAGGCTGCCCAAGAGCCTAAGCCAAAGCCTGCCACTGCGCCCAAGGAAGCCCACGTGGAAGTAGAGGCCCCCGTTGAAGCTGCTCCCGTTGCAGAACCGGAGAAGAAAGTAGAAGCCTCCAATGAAGCCGAAACCGAGGCCACAGCTGCCGAAGGTGAAACGGAGAAGGGTGGCAAGAACAAAAAGAAAGGCAAAAAGGACAAAAAGACCGCAGCTGAGGAAGAGGAGACCAAGAAAGATGGCAAGAAAAAGGGTGTCTCCGCCGCCATGGTAGCGGCCATGCAGGAACGTTTAAAGAAAATAAAGGAGGAGGAAGAACGACAGCGTCAACTCGAAGAGGAACGTCAACGTCAAGAGGAGGAACGTGAACGTGCCCGTTTGGAAGCCATTCGCCTGGAAGCCGAACGCAAGGAACGTAAAAAACAAAAGGAACAGGAGCGTAAGGCCCGTCTCAAGGCTGAGGGTAAACTTTTGACCAAGAAACAAAAGGAAGATCGTGCCCGTGCCCAAGCCATGTTGGAGGCTCTGAAGGCTCAGGGTCTGGAGATTCCCGATCCCAATGAAAGGAGACCCGCCAGGCCGGGTAAGCAAGAAAATAATTTCTTAATAAATAGTGTGTATGATTGATGTGTTCCATACATTTTTAGGTACCCGCATACGTCCCAAGAAGAAGGGTCCAAATGCCAACAATCAACAACAGAATGACACAAAGACTGAGGAAACAACAACGGTAAGTTGGAATGAATTTTTAGGAGGATAGTTTTTCAGTTTATCAGGACCTCAAAACGTAGATTGTTTACAAATATATTTTTATAGACAGCCAGAGCTTCATAGCCAAGATTTCAAATTTTTTAAAGGACCTTAAAAGGTCAATTTGAAAAAAATAATTTTTAAGGATCATGAGACCGAAGGACTCAAAAGATCCATATAACAGCACACAAGTATCAAATATTAAAAAAATCCATTCCTTTTGATTGGTTTTCATTAGGCATCCCTTGTTTTGGAAGATCTTGGCATTCAAAGTTTTTTTCCTATTCCCCTTATTTTTACCCTCTTCTTTAATTTATCTCTTTCTCCCTTTTTCGCAGACTCCCGTTGTCCAAGAACCCGTTGAAAAGAAAGAGGTTGTCAAAGAGTCCTGGGATGCTTCCGATTCGGAGGAGGAACAAAACGATGACACATCACAAGCCACCACCAACAATGATGATAAGACTTCCAATGATAATGCCCAAGAGGGCGGTGAAGGTGATTCCGATGAAGATGACGATGACAGTGCGGGCTCTGACGAAGATGATGATTCTGATTCAGATTCTGGCTCCGACTCCGAATCCGATGCCAAGGAGGAAGCCATTAATTTAAATGATCCCGAAGAAAGACGTTTGCGTGCCGAACGTCGTATCCTTAAACGTCAAGATGAGGCTGAAAAGAAACGCACAGTTGATAATTTACGTGCCGCCGTTGTCTGTGTACTCGGTCACGTTGATACGGGTAAAACAAAAATTCTGGATAAGTTGCGTCGCACCAATGTTCAGGATGCCGAAGCTGGTGGTATCACCCAACAAATTGGTGCTACCAACGTCCCCATGGATGCCATCAAAGAACAATCGAAGGTGGTGCGAAACTCCTCCGATTTTGATTTCAAACTTCCCGGCCTGCTTATTATTGACACACCCGGTCACGAATCGTTCAGTAATCTACGTAATCGTGGCTCATCGCTCTGTGATATTGCCATTCTGGTCGTTGACATTATGCACGGTCTCGAACCGCAAACCATTGAATCCATTAATTTACTTAAGAAGAAGAAATGTCCCTTCATTGTAGCTTTAAATAAAATCGATCGTTTGTACGATTGGAAGCTGATGGCCCGTCGTGATATACGTGATGTGTTGAAGGAACAAGAGGCCAATACTCAAGTGGAGTTCCAACAGCGTACCAAGGAGGTGATTTTGCAATTTGCCGAACAGGGTCTCAATGCTGCACTCTTCTATGAAAATCCCGATCCGAAAACCTACATTTCCTTGGTGCCCACCAGTGCCATAACGGGCGAGGGTATGGGCAACCTGTTGTTCCTCATTGTGGAATTCTGTCAGAAAATGTTGGCCAAACGGCTGATGTACTCGGAGGAGTTGCAGGCCACCGTTTTGGAAGTTAAGGCCATTCCAGGTCTGGGCACAACCATTGATGCCATTTTGATTAATGGCAAATTGCGTGAGGGTCAAACAATGATCTTGGCTGGTACCGATGGTCCAATTGTTACCCAAATACGTTCGCTGTTGATGCCGCAACCTATGAAGGAGTTGCGTGTCAAGAATGCCTATGTTGAGCACAAAGAAGTGGTGGCAGCCCAGGGTGTTAAGATAGCCGCCAAGGATTTGGAAAAGGCAATTGCGGGCATCAATCTACTGATTGCCCACAAGCCGGATGAGGTGGAGATTTGCAAGTAAGTAGAATATAAATTTGTTCTTAATTGGCAAATAATGAAAATATATATTTGTTTTTGTTTTACAGGGAAGAGGTTGCCCGTGAACTCAAGAGCGCTTTGAGTCACATCAAGCTGGCTGCTACCGGTGTGTATGTACAAGCCTCAACTTTGGGTTCATTGGAAGCTCTGTTGGAATTCTTGCGCACATCAAAAATACCGGTAAGTGATTGTATTTTGTATTGTTCTCAATATGCCTAAAAGTATGCAACACATGTTGTGATAAACTATTAGTGGGGGTAATGAAATTTTTGTGTTGTGGTGAGATTGTCTTCATTGACAGTTTGGTGGGAATTTGAGGTGAAGAATGCAGATGTGGTGGAGTGTTTGAATAGAATTTAAGTGGCATCAATTCAGTCTCCGACGATAAACACCAATTTTTGGGAAAATATGGAAAACATTGGATTTTGAAAAGAGCACAAAAAAACATTTTGAAAAGTTGGAGGGATCTTCAAGAATAAGAACCGCGGATTTTTGAAAAAAAAGCACATTAATTGTCGATATCCAGAAATACTTTCGACTATTATAAAACCCTATTGTTTTCAAAGGATTATCAACATCAAAGGCTATGATCTTTTAAGATTCTTTTTAGGACGATCAACACTAGTATTTCCGTATTATTTCAAAGGCTTTGAAACCTAACTTGAAAGGCTTTAAACCCCCAAGACAACAAAAATATGGGTTTGGAAAGAAAGCAACAGAACATTGAGTGACTATAGACTATGATATGACCCTTCTGTTTTGAAGGACTATCAATACCAATAGCTTTCATATTCTTTTAGAATATTTTGCCGAGACAACCAGCACCAATATTTTCGTATTAAACGATGTGCTTAGAATACCAATTTAAAAGACTTCCAAGAGGTACTTTTCGACGGGAAAAAATTATAGGGATTTTGAAAACAATACCAAAAAAAAAAAAAAGAGGTCGCTAATTGCTGAATTTATAGGGAGATTATCGAGTACAATATTAGGATTTTCAGAATTACTATCGAGACCAATACCCGGGGATCTAGGAAGATCTATTATCTTCATGTTAAAAAAAAACAAAAATCGAATATTTTTGGTATCTCCCAAGACCAAAACATGCATAATTTGGAAAATTTTTAATAGTGAATTTTATGATATTTGAAGTCGAGGATTTTTGAAACCTAAAATAGTGAATTTTGCCATGACCATGAAGACTAATAATCATGAATTTTCAAGGCCAAGACCAATAACCGCTTATTTTGGGAAGAAGAGTGGTCGTTAATTGGCGGATTTACATATAAACTACCGAGTTCAATATACGTGATTTTCAGAAATACTATCGAAACCAATACTCGGGGATCTTTGAAGATTTATTATTTATGCATGTTTGGAAGATTATTAGATTTTTTGATATTTTGATATTTTAAGTCGGGATTTTTTGAAACGCCAAAAATAGTGAACTTTGTAATTACTATCAAGACCAAAAAGCATGGATTTTCAAGTCGAACATCTGTGAATTTTTTTAAGGTCCAATAATCGTGGATTTTTGAAGGATGTCAGTACCAACATTATGGATTTGGGCTATTTGAAAAAAAGTCTAGACCATTGATAGTTGATGTTTAAAGACCACTAGTAGTGCATTTTCTTAGGTCAATAACTGTCAGCAATAACCGTGGGCCTTTAAGGACTAGTAATCGTAGATAGAAGAACAATATTACGGGATTTTTGAAAGAGTGGCGAGACTTAAAACCGTCGACTTATTAGGACCAATAATTGTGGATTTTTTAAGTCCATTATTTGGTGATTTTGGAAAAAAGTGCAAGCCTTATAACCGTGGATTGTCAAGCCCAATATTTGGAGATTTTGGAAGGGTGTAAAGATTTATGACCATGGATTTTTAAGACCAATATTTGAGAATTTTAAATAGAGTATCAGCATCTATAACATTGAATTTTCCAGAAGAATATTTGAGTATTTTCAATAGAGTCTCAAGCCATATAACCTTGTTTTTTCATGGATTTGTAAAGACCAACCTTTGGGATTTTGGAAAGAGACCAAGACCAATAATCGTGGATTTTCCAAGACAAATATTCGAGAATTTTTAAAAGAGTGTCAAGATTTTGAAAAGAGTGAATTTTTCAAGACCAATATTTGAGGATTTTGAAAGGAGTGCCAAGACCTATAACCGTGAATTTTTGAAGTCAAATAATGGAGGATTATTCGAGACCAATATTCAGGGATTTTAGGAAGAGTGTCAAGCCTTATTACCGTGGATTTTTTATGGCCAAGAATCCTGGATTTTTCAAGATTAATGATGGGGGATTTTGGAAAGAGTGCCTAGACTAATACCCGTGGATTTTTCAAGGCCAAAAATCGTGGACTTGTAAAGATCAGAATTGGTAGATTTTGAAAAGAGTGTCAGGACTTTTGAAAAGAGATCAATATTCAAAAATTTTGGAAAGAGTGTCAAGACTTATAACTGTGAATTTTTTATAGTCAAGAATCCTGGATTTCTCAAGATAAATATTGGGAGATTTTGGAACGAGTGTCCCGTGGTTTTTTTATCTCAATGATCGTGAATTATAGAAGACCGATTTTTGGTAGTTTTGGAAATTGTCCAGACATATAACCGTAGACTTTTCAAGAACAATAACCTTCGATTTTTAAGGACACAATTTGGTGATTTTGGAGGGAGTGTCAAGACTTTAAACCATGGATTTTTCAAGACTAATAAACGTGGTTTTGAAAAAAGTATCAAGACTTATGAAGGTGGATTTTTGAAGACCAGTAATTGTGGATTATTCGAGACCATATCCAGGAATTTTGAAAAGAGTGTCAAGACTTATAACCGTGCATTTTTCATGACCAAGAATTGTGGATTTTTCAAGTTGAATATTGAGGGATTTTGGAAAGAGTGTAAGAACTTTTCAGGACCAATATTCAAAGATTTGAAAAGAGTATCAAGACCCATAACTGTGGATTTGTAAAGACTAATAATCGTGAATTTTTAAGACCAATGTTTCGGGATTTTGGAAACGGTGTCATCACCATATAACCTAGAATTTTTCAAGACCAATATTTGGAAATTTTAGAAAGACTCTCAAGAATAAAAATCATGGATTTTTCAAGACCAATATTTGAGGATTTTGGAAAGAGAGTTAAGACCTATAACCGTGTATTTGTAAAGACTAATAATCTTGGATTTTTCAAGATAAATATTGGGGATTTTGGAAAATGGACCAAGACCAAGACTTTTATCTAATCGTGGATTTTTAAAGACCAATATTCTAGAATTTTGGAATGAGTGTCAAGACTAATAACCAATATTTGAGGATTTTGAAAGGATTGGATTTGTCAAGATTAATAATCGTTGATTTTTAGGACAAAATTTTTAAGATTTTGGAAATTGGATTTTTTTTCAAGACCAATATTCGGTTATTATGGAAAGAGTGCCAAGACTAATAATCGTGGATTTTCAAGATCAATAATCGTAGATTTGTCACGACCAATAATTGTGAATTGTTGAAGACCAATAATCGTGGATTTGTCAGGAATTGTTTATCGTGAATTGTATAAGGCCAATATTCGAAAATTTTGCAAAGAGTGTGAAGACTCATAACCTTGGATTTTTCCAGACCAATAATCGAAGATTTTTGAATAGTGCCTCGGATTTTTCAAGACTAATAATAGTGGATTTTTCGGGTCTAATGACCGCGGATTCTTTGAGACCACTTTTCGGGAATTTTGACAGGATTATGAATTCCAAAAATTGTGGGTTCTGGAATATCGAGGAATATTAATAGACTTCCAATATTTACAAATGTGGATTTCCGAAGACCCACATCGTGAATGTTTTGAAGACCAATAATCGTGAAGTTTTGAAAAACAAAAAGATTTTTTTAAGACCAAAAATCGTAGCATTTGAAGACCTAAAAATCTTGAATTTTTATGATTTATTAACCTAAATTTGTCCAGACTTATATTCAAAGATTTTTGAAGAAAAGTAATCGTGGATTTATGAAAAACGATTTAGACCAAAAATGGCGAATCAAAAAAACTTGGATTTTTTTATGATTAATTAACGTAAATTTGTGCAGACTTATAATCAAGGATTTTTAAAGAATAATTATCGTGAATTTATGAGAAAATGGTTTAGACCAAAAATATAGAATTTTTTTAAAGAGTTTTAGAAAGAATGCCAATGTCAATAGTCTCGGGATTTCGAAAGCCATTTGAAAAGACAAATAAAGGCGGACCTATGGGAGGACTATTAGACCAAGGATTATTGGTCTAATTGGTCTTCCACAGCAATAAGCATAGCTGTCTAAGTTACTAGCTAAGTAGGTTCTTGGAAAGTTCTAAAGACTAATAAAAGTGGATTTTTTAACACCAATAATCTTGGATTTTTCAAGGTCGACAAGCTCGGATTTTTAAGTCATTTAAAATGGGTTTCCAGAGATCTTCAAACATGGATTTTCCGAAAATCTTGGATTTTTAAGACCAGAAAGAATGTCAAAGCCAATAGTCTCGGTATTTCGAAAGCCATTCGCAAACAATGTCAGGACAAATAATCGCGGACCTACGGCAGGACTTTTCGACCAATAATCCTTGATCCACAGCAATAAGCAAAGCATTCTGGGTTACTATCTAAGTAGGTTCTTGGAAAGATTCTAAAGACCAATAATAGTGGATTTTTTTAACACCAATAATCTTGGATTTTTCAAGACCGAAAAGCTTGAATTTTTCAAGCTCCATTAAAATGGGTTTCCAGAGATCTTCAACATGGATTTTCCGAAAATCTTGGATTTTTAAGAACAGAAAGAATGTTAAGGCCAATAGTCTCAGGATTTCGAAAGCCATTTGGAAAGAATATCGGGACAAATAATCGTGGACCTATGGAAGGACTATTCGATCAATAATCCTTGATTCTTCCACAGCAATAAGTGTAGCTTTCTTGGTTACTAGCTAAGTAGGTTCTTGGAAATATTCTAAAGACCAACAATATGGATTTTATAACACCAATAACTATGGATTTTTCACGGTCGACAAGCTTGGATTTTTCAAGTTCAATTAGGATAAATTTCTAGAAATTTTCAATATGGATTTTGGATTTGAAAATCTTGGATTTTTAAGACCAGAGAGAATGTCAAGGCCAATAGTCTCGGGATTTCGAAAGCCATTTGGAAAGAATG